GTACTTTATTTTAGCAGATATCTTCAATGGTTCTGACAAAAAAAGTCCGAAATTTTCTTAAGATTATGAAGCTATTATTCATAGTAGCCCTTATATAATTTCTCATGGCCTCTTGAATTATAAATATGCTTTCCTCAGGTTCATACGCGCCAATACTTTCTACGTTCGATACAGCTGCGATCTGGTGAGTGGACACCCAAGTACAAGGCAAATCTCGCGACATAAAATCTTATGGTAAAAGTCCGGTTGTTGTGAATGCACGTTATAAGTTGATAAAATAGTTTTAAAAGAAAAAAATTTCTTTTTAGTATTGAAAATACTTCTGGCCGCGTTTATATGGGACCCATCTTTGAAAAACGACATGCCAGAGGCAACATGAGGTTCAAAAGCTGCCTAATCAACTTGTCAATACGTAAGTCGATCACGCAAAGGCCGTTCGAGGGCCGAACTCGAGGTTCTTTCCTTGGTGTGTGTGGGCCAACTATTTTATGGATATGGATGTTTAGTCTGGGAAAGCCGATATTATTATAAAAATGCGTCAAGGCATGGGTTGTTAGGTACAGTTGGGCTATTTTAATGTAACTCTTTCCGTAGAGAATCAAGAGGCAAATTATACGTGAAAGAGCGGAATAACATAAATAATAAATTTAGACTAATGCAATATTTTTCTTGGCGCGTAAGATAATGCGCACAATCGATGCATTAAAGGGAATAATTAATTAAATCATTAAGTTCCAAAACATATAATAACTCGGGTCTCATCGGATCTGCTGATACATTTTGATAAAATCCTTGTATATTATTATAAACAAGAATAAAATTTAGGCTATTAGGACCTATATTTTTTTTTATATGATTATTATTTTTTTAATTAACAACTTAGGACAAAGAAAAAGCTTGCATGGTTTCCGACCATAACAGGCGTAAAAACAAATGAATCCAAGGCGGTGCCAAATATTTTTTATCGGGATAAGTTTTTATCGTTTGAATATTGTTGTAAATAATTATCATTTAATTAGTGCTAACTTACCAAAGTTCACATTGTCGACACCATTCTTGACATCTTCGCAATAATCCACCCAGTAAAAAGCGATCTCTCAGCTTGCTCAAGGTCTTGTTTACCCCAAGATGGGCTCCAGTTTTACCACCGTGAATTTCTTCCAATACCTGGGTAACTTTCTTCCTTGGTACCAGTAACTGAGTTGTTACTGTGCTGCCACAACTGCCCTTTTCCCACATGTGCGCTTTAACAATCCATTCTCAATAACCAGTGAATTCCACTGGCCCAGAGGCTTTGAAAACGAGCCCTCTGTCCGCAATATCCCGCCACGGTGGTCTCTCGCCGTTACCTTCCTTCGAGCCGTTAGTATTGCCCCGATGTCTGGATCTTCCATTTGGTCTTTCCTCAATTGTGTCGTCGTCCACTTTTCATCGGTTCCAAGCTTAAAACTCCCTTATCATAACAGTACCTTCGCGTTGTTCCGTTTTACAGCAGTGCATAAATCGGTTTGACAGGGTCTTCTGGATAAACCGTTCAACAAAATCGGCCAACGGATCTTTGAGATATTAATCAAAAAGGCCTATTAGAAAACACATTGACATCTTTAAAATTATACATTTCCGGACACATGTTTATATGAACTTTTACCTTAAAAACACTCTAAGTTCATCATTGTCCTGAAGTTTAGGCCAGATACTTAATTAACACCCTGTATTTAAAAATGGCTGGCTAGTGATTTAGTAAGCTATGTTTTATTTTAATGGGAAAAAATACATTTTCATAAAAAATAAACAAAAACCCATAATACAAATACTATACACCAATTAATTAATTAATTTTAAATGTATCTAAATAGGCACTTTAATAATTGAAAAATGAAAAATGAACAGGAGCACTTCTTAAAATCACTTCATAGAGTATACAAAATATGCTAAAAATAATAATTCCAATAAAAAACATAAATGGCACATTAAAATCTGCATTATCTGAAATCAAACTATAGCTAAACGGGTAATACAATAATAGAGACAAGACGCCGACATCTATAACGCGATGAGCAGTTTTAATAATTATTCCGAGTTATTATTACATACTTATTATTTTACAATTTATTGTAATGATAGTTTATGGCATTCCTTCAAATAAATTTTGATGTAAGTATTGTTAATATAGTCATATTAATGATTATAGCCTGCTTCACAAAAATCCGTTCTTCCACTGTTGATTTTCAAAATAAATAATCAAGAGTGTTTTATCAGAACTATTAAATGATTAAGTCAGTAGCGTAACTCCAAATGTGAGTTCCCCACATGTTTTTTTTTCTTGGTGCCCTTATATTAAAATAAAAACGACACTAAAAACATCGGGTATCGCTTTTATGTACGTATATCCAAGTCATTTAAAATATATAAAAACAAAAAACTTATAGACTAGAAAAAATAATAACTAGAACTAGAAAAAATAATAATAAAGAACATAAAAATAAAACATTAAAAATAAATCAACACAATATTTTTGGAAATTGTAGGGGACGCTGTTCACATATATATGTATTTAGTAAACAAAATCACGAGGCCCCATTGCGGGTGCTGCAGGGCCTACGCTACGCTACTGGATTAAGTAGAAATAGTTAATATTTAGAAACTTCGTAAGTGTTATATTTTAGTATAATTATGGATTTAATAATTAAATAATTATCTTAAGTTTAAATTGTGGTAAACTTGAGTTTCAATCATTTATATTTAAAATCTTAGGAAAAGGCAATATAGATTTTAGGCAGGAGAACTCAAGGGAAGGACTGTGTAATTAGTAATTAAGACTTTACAAGTTTTTTACTTGCCATTTTTCTTGTCGTTCACGTTGCACGTTGACTCTTCGTTGTGTCACACACAATCTGAATTTCGGATATGATGCAGAGCTGATAATATTAAATAGGCTTAATGGGGGAACTGATAATATTAAATAGCAAATATATCAATTGCAAGGTATTCAAAAGAAATATTTTGTTAACTTTGCAAACATTTAAAGCATGCAATAATTAAAAAAACTGTGAAAAATTGACGTGAGATTACTTTATAATTCTTGGAAGTCTTGGATCATAAAGATTTGAATTATTGTGGGTCTGTTTTGTTTAAGAAATAATAATTATAAAATAATAATTTCAAAAACTCAACTATCAAAATATAATGGTAGCAAATTTTCATGCATAGGTATAATGTTCTATTTCTCTTGGTCAGTCCATCCATTGGCAGCGGCGGCTGCTTCAAACTGACGGTGGTACATTGTCCATGTCGTTTGTCCATCGTAGGTCGGGGGCCTTAAGGTTCGCTGTTCCTTGAACGCCAGGTGTCTTTACCGCTACTCATATTATGGGCACCTATGTATATTTGTGGTTGTGACGGTTTTCCAGATCAGAGTACAGATGAAAAGAAGTTACAAACTAAATTATCCTGGAACTATATTTTAATTTATTTTTATCTACAGTAATTATTACTTATTTTTTGTACGGCAGATTGCTCTTCAAGTTCGAATATTGGTTAAACACTAGAAATACCTAGGTAATAGCCCAAAATATGTAAAAGGGGAGTGAGTTTAGGTTAGATTAGAATTAGGTTTTAGTTGGTTTTGCATTAATAAAAAAATATAGGCCTAATCTATACTTAACCCTAAACTGACATTTTTGCATATTTCGGGCTCCTACGTGAGTAACCTTACGTTTAACCAATATTCGAACTTTTACGACAACATAATACCATTCTGATTGGTTTAATCTGGCTCCATAATGAAACTGTGGGTTCCAGGTGCTATTGCAAATTAATGCCATTAATTCTATGTATATACATACCTCACATTTCTATAGTGTAGTGACCGTGATCGTGACCATTCATGAATCCGCACACGTCCATCTTCATCATTAATATTTTTTTTAATAAATTGTTCATTTTTATAAAAAGCCATCACGATAAAATAAAATATCAAAATTATTTAACGTTGTTCCAACGGTTCAATTTCTTCACTATACGTATCTCGAATATACCCTACTGGCAAACAAAACCTTAGGTCGGCGTTTACATGTATAGGAGTGAATCGCTTAATTTATTTTGTTTCACTCTGAGAGCCAAAATACGAAATACAACACAACATAATCTACTTTAATCTGACGCTAGATCCATGCGCTTGGGAAAATACTTGCCTTCTGTCTTTATTCAGTACATCTTATTTTACGTTTCGTACACACGAAAATCGGGCCTTACCTACCCCCTGGCGGTTGTTTCTAGATTTTTCTAAAGAATTCTATAATTTTCTTTACTTTCTGGCGAATGCGCCAGGTTCCTCAGAGCACGCCCCGACTTTTTAGCAGTATGCAGTTATGCAACCAGTAATACACCTTGACATTATTGTTTATATCACATTTATATGGTTTATATAGAGTACGAAACGCTCTTTTCAACGAGCCCTCACTTGTTAGATTCCGGTCATCCAGTCAGAGTTATTAAATATTTAAATAAAACAAGATCTAACCTTCCCCACCACTTTATTTTAGCAGATAGGGAAAAAATGGTTCTAACAAAAAAAAGTCCGAAATTTTCTTAAGATTATGAAGCTATTATTCATAGTAGCCCTTATCTAAGCAGAATTTTAGCGGCCACTTCACAAACTTGAAAAATAGATTGCCAGAATACTCATGGCACGAATGGCCTCAAATTGCTTTCCAAACAAGGTTTAGTTCTTTCATATTTCTATTGAGCTCTTCCAAATGACGTCACAGGTTAATATAAAATGTAAAAAACAGATGATTGCCGACCACCGCCGACTTTTGTGTCTGGTATTTTCAATACGCCTATGATGGTTGCGCATGTTGCAAAATCTGTGAATTTTTCTTTTTAGTGTATTTAAATAAAAGCTTGTTTTTAAAAAAGTTTTTTTTCTTAAAATTTATTTTTCAAATTTCTTCGAACTGTAAATGGTGTCGCGTAATTTAATTTCTAATTTGTTTCAGATATTAGTCGATGAAAGTGGATATTTTATACACTTTTTTGCTCCAGAAAATTTACCACCATTGCACAAACAAGTTATTTTTATCTTAGATGTCAGTGGCAGCATGGGTGGTAAGTTTTTAACATAGTATCTATTTTACCTATAACCAAATACTATACCTGTAGTAAAAATTATAATTTTTACATATATGAAGTAAAGATTTGTAGTAAACATGCATGAGTTATTTTGGATATTTAAAATAATTTTACATTTTGTTTATATTATCTACAGTATGTCCCCGGATTGTCTTTACGAGAGGATTTTTTTTATTAATAACAGAAAAATGCATTCTTTATAAGCAAAACTTTTTATCAAGAATACATTTTTCTTAAAAAGTTAATAATAAAAAAGTTTTTACTCTTGTAAATCCGGGGACATACTGTATCTTATAAAAAATGTCTATACCTATGAGGTGGATTCATTTCTCCAAAAAAATCCTATATGGGTATTTCGCCACTGCACTGCACTGTATGTTATAGCCATAGTACAAAGAAATTAGTAGTATCCTTGTTTATATATTAAATCACGGGTAGTATTAAGAAAAATGTCTCTTTTTAAAATAAGAAATATACTTGCTTTCTGCTCCGTATCTTTTTTGACATGTGTTTATTAGAAAAGGAAATAAATAAGAAAAAAACATAGAACGAGGTTTTCCAATATTTTAAAACAAGAGCTTCTTTGCCAGTTATAAAAAGAGATAGCTGTAGATTATTGAAAGGATAATTTGTAAGAAAATGTTTTTAATGTGATAAAACCTACAAACCGTGTATAGGATCCCACAAGCAATACTACTTCTGCATCTAAAAAAATGCCAATTCTCGCAACACAATTCCTCCGCTATAAAAAGTTGTGAAATCTCGTGTAAAACCAAGTCAGTTTATTTTATTTAGTCTGCCTTTAAGCACCTATTCAACAATTTTGTTTTAAGTTGTTAGTATCAATATTAGTCATCTTTATTTCTATAATAATTATAATGACTTGGTAATTGCACGATATATGATATTCTATAGTAATTAAAAAACTTTATTCTTAAGTGCACCGTTTAGATTTACTTAGTAATCGAAATAGTAGATTATTCTTTTTTATAATTATGGTGCCGTGCATTGCAATTGCCAAGTCATTATAATAATTATAGAAATAAATCAGACCGCTGTAGTAAAATATAACAATATAACAACTGAACCAGCAAACATACAAAAAGGTGTCCGACAGGGTTGCATTTTATCACCAATGTTATTTAATCTATACTCCGAACGTATTTGTAACACTTAACAACAGATATGCTGATGATACCGCGCTACCACAAGCGGTACTAGCAGATAGTCCAGAAGCCTTCCAACGCTTGATAAATCAACTCACTGCAGTCGGAGATCGTTACGGCCTTAAAATAAATACCACTAAAAGAAAAATAGTTATAATATCAAAAACCCCAGAGGCGCCCATAGATATTAGTATATATGGAAAACAAATAGAAGTGGTAGAAAAATTAAAATATTTGGGGACCTGGATTTGCAACAACCTAGATCCAGAAACAGAAATTAGATCCAGAATCGAGCAAGCAAGAGCCACTTTTAACCTGATGCGGCCATTACTGTGTAATGCCACCCTAAGTCTGAGCCTTAGATACCGGTTTGTGAAGTGCTATATACACTCGGTTTTGTTGTATGGCTGTGAATCGTGGACTCTAAAGGTTAACATCATTAACAGAATAGAAGCCCTTGAGATGTGGATTCTTCGTAGACTTCTCAAAATACCTTGGACGGCACATGTCACAAACGAAGAGGTGCTGATGCGAGCCCAATGCGAAAGAGAATTAGTGCACATTGCCAAGACAAGCCAAGACACGTAAGACAGTCTATCTGGGTCCTATAATGCGTGGAAGTAGATGAGCTGTTAAAATTGAGAATGGAGGGAAAAATTGAGGGCAAGCGGGGTATAGGTAGGAAGAAGCATTCATGGTTGAAAAACATCAGAGATTGGACGGGTATGGATGTACACTCGTTATTTCGAGCTGCCCAAGATCGTCAGATGTTCGCCGAGATTGTTGCCAATAGGGAATGTAATTCCGCAAATCCCTCTGAGATTCCGCGGGATCAAAGTTGCGAGATTTACCGTGCGGGATCCGCGGGATCAACACATTACTACTGGGTAACCGAATCGATCTCGATTAAGATCAAACCGCTTCGTTCCGGGCCGATGGATGCGTCGACGCTCGGAACCCGGGGGATTCCCCTTACGGCTTGGCCATTAAAAATAAGTGAAACAAACAGGCTAGTTGTTAGATTTCTTTCTGGCGTATGTGCGTAAGTGAAGAAAAGCGTTTAACTAGTACTTGTGGACAATTTCGTCAAATAAATTGCCGGACATATTTATTGGAACAAGCAAAATTTTAGGGTAAATTTGAAGTTGAATATCTCTTAAACTAAAAAAGATTTTGGGATGCGGTTTGGACCATGTTTTAGATGAATCTATTGTGATTAAGATGCTGATGTGGTTTTCGAAAATATATTTAGCGAATTCTTGTATACAGGGTGTTTTATAAGAGTGTGAAAATTTGATCAAGAATCTTTTTTACCGCAAATTTACAATTTTTAAAAAATCGAAATTTTTACCAAGTACGACGAATCTGTATTGAAATTAGAAAAAAATAATGGATCGGTTTTTTATTTTTTTTTGTTTTAAGGAAAATACGAGGTTTTTTCGAAAAATATGCATTTTTAGTCATACGTATGGCCCTAAATGGTACAAAAAGCTTTGTACATAATGCATATGCCAAAAAATTATTGATATAGAGTGTATCTAACAGCAGATAACTAACACAAGTTAAAAAAAAACTTCAATCAGAATAATATTTTTATTTATAAAATAAGTAGATAAATTATAATAAATTTTAAGTTTATTTAATATTAAATATATTTTTTGAACACCCTGTATACATCGGTGTCAAAATTTCTGTACAGCTAGTTTAAGATACACGCTATATCAATATATAATGCCTTTTGTAGCATTTAGGACTATTGTTTACAGTGCCGCAATTTTGCGGATCCGCGGGATTGATTGCTTTAATCCGGCGGGTTTGCGGGATTGATATTTTGGTGCGGGATTGCATTCCCTAGTTGCCAACCTTCAATGAACAATGAAGACGGCACTCTGAAAAGATAGAAATAAAGATGACTAATATTGATACTAACAATTTATAACAAAATTGTTGAATAGGTGCTTAAAGAGAGACTAAATAAATTACACTGACTTGGTTTTACATGAGATCTCACAACTTTTTATAGCGGAGGAATTGTGTTGCGAGACTTGGCATTGTTTTACATTCTATCTTTTTGATGGGATTATGTTTTAAAAATTTTATGATATAAAATATGCAACATAGCATAGCATCACCCATAGGTGCTCCCAGAAACACAGTAATTTTCGGTAATCCGACCTGCTCTGAAGATTCTTTAGAACCTCGCATCCCGAATATGTCCCGAATGACGGATCCCAACTGAAGCGATCTACATGCTGCCAACAATCTGCCGAATTGTATTTGACTGGCGGAAATTATTTGGCAAAGTGGTACTACTTTTTTCTCTATACTATGACATAATATTTAACTATAATAATAACTTCCGGGTTAATTACACAGAAAATAAGTACTCTCATCTTTTGTACATGAAAACCTACCTTTTTTGGATACAAAGGACCTTAAAAATATAATATACACTAACATGTGACCATTTATTATTTTTTAGGAAGAAAAATTACACAACTTAAAGAAGCGATGAACAGTATTTTAGGCGAACTCAAGCCAGAAGATACGTTCAGTATTGTTGAGTTTAATTCCGATGTTTTAGTTTGGAATGTACATACCGTAGAAGTGACTTATAAGGAGCAATCAAGAGAAAATATCTTTCAGCCAATAAGGAATCCTCCTTTACCAGAAATTCAAAGGGTAAGTTAAAATTATATTTAAAATTGGCTACGCTACCTTGACGCGACCTATATCCCGCATTTTTGTATGTATATACAGGGTGACGCGCCTCATTCTCCTCGGTTGATTATACGAAAACGAAAAGATCTAGAAACAAAATATTTTATGGGTATATGTGGGAAGGCAATGTGTATAATTTAAAATTATTTTGAAATGTACAGGGTTTGACAGAACTAACATCCATACCAAAGTTATATTTTTTCTTATGGAACACCCGGTATTTTATTTCATTTTTGGATTCTTGTATATAAAATAAGGCATTTATTGTAAGGGTTTAATATGTTTAAAAGCTTTAGTTTTTGAGATATTTAAAGATATTTAAATATGCATGCTATAATAAAAAAGTTTGTCAACACCCTGTACATTATTTTTCAGAGTTAATTCTTGTGCTAACTTTCAAGCCAGAGAAATAGACTTCATTAAAAAAATTGATTGCTTCCTTAAATGTATACAGGGGTATCAAAAATTTCTGGTCTATTTTAAATATTAAGAAAAAAATAAAAACTTCGTTATTTCAAATGCAACACTATGTATTTTTTTAAATAAGTCGAAGCAGATTTAAATGCTCTTTCAAACTACATTAGGGTTTCCTATACCTATCTGGCTCAGAATTTGAATAAAAATCAATTTTTCAATAAAATTGTAATCAAGATGGCTGGTGTCGCTATGGCAATTTTCTAGTGACACTTAGCAGCTATTTTCAAAATCGGCATTAGTTTATGGACTTTATTTAAATTTATAACAGGTTACTTTTATTTAATTTTAAATTTAATTTTTAATACCCCTGTATACATTTAAGGGAGCAATATTCTTTTTAGTAAAGTCAGCAGAAGAATTAACTCTGAAAAGCAATGTACAGGGTGTTGACAAAGTTTTTTATTATAGCATGCATATTTAAATATCTTTAAATATCTCAAAAACCAAAGCATTTAAACATATTAAACCCTTATAATAAATGCCTTATTTTATGTCCAAGAATCCAAAAATGAAATAAAATACGTGGTGTTCCATAAGAAAAAAAATATAACTTGAGTATGGATCTTAGTTCTGACACACCCTGTACATTTCAAAATAATTTTAAATTATGCACATTGCCTCTTTACATATACTTAGAAAAAAAATTGTTTCTACATCTTTCCGTGTTCGTATAATCAACCGAGGCGAATGAGGTGCGCCACCCTGTATATCGCACTTTTTCAACAAATGGTGGATGACCAACAGATCTCTAGAATCGAATGGTGGAAAAATTCACCAGGGCAGAAACAGACTAAAAGTTTGTAGTAGAACATTCGCTAAAATTCACGACAGATATGATAAGCAAAGACACAAAGACAGTCAAAGCTGTAGTGGGTCTACTGGCAACTGGGCATTGTGGCTGAATAGGCTCACAGTGAGGGAGGGGGCCTATGAAATAACTAACCAAATGGAATAAAGGTACTAAACTTGTTTTATTAACTTTTTAGGATAATATCTTACCACCTGCTTTCAAAGCTACAGAAGAAAATATCAATAACGCTAAGCGCATTATAGGGCAATTAGAAGCTATGGGTGGGACCGATATTCAAACTGCCCTAAAACTAGGTCTTCAAATTATAGCTAAAAGTGATAAAAATGACAGCCAACAGCCTATCATTGTGTTCCTGACTGATGGTGAACCTACAGTGGGACAAACTGATACCAACATTATCACTTCAAAGGTACAAATTAATATATTATATTTATTAGTTAATTATTATTAAGCTTCATTCAGTACCTCACAATTAGTGGAATAAATTAGTGGTTTCAATTAGCATAGGAGTTTGTTCCTTTAATTTCAATGTAAGCATTCAGAACGTCTTAATTAGTGGTAGTCATTTTCAATTAGTAGAAAAAGTTGACAAATTTTTGACTTTTCCACTAATTATACTTCAAAATATGCGAGGAATGTCATTTTGACCTTTGAGTATCAGCCCTTAAGAGAAATTGTGGTTACAAATCAAAAGTTTATTGTTTTATAAGCTAAATATTTCGCTTTCTCTAAGGACACGACTGACTACGACAAGCTGTTGCTAAGATATTCTATTAATTTTAATTGTGTTTTTTAGACATTGTGAATGATCGTAAACTAAAAAGTATAAAGCGTAATTGAAACCACTAATTTATTCCATTAATTGCGAGGATCTGAATGAAGCTTTAAACTTTAAGCTTCATTCAGAACCCCCCAATTAGTGGAATAAATTAGTGGTTTTAATTAACGTAGAAGTTTGTTCCTGTAAATTATATGTAAGCATTCAGAACGTCAAAATTTGTGGTAGGGATTTTTAATTAGTGGAAAAAGTTAACAAACTTTTAACTTTCCCACTAATTATACTTCAAAATTTACGACAAATGTTATTTTGGCCTTTGATTATCATCCGTCAAGACAAAATTTGGTTAGACATCAAAAGTTCATTGTTTTATAAGCCAAATATTAGGCTTTCTCTATGGATACAACTGACTACTAGAAGCTGTTGCTATAGATATTCTATTAATTTTAATTGTGTTTTTTAAACATTGCAAATCATCGTAAAGTAAAAAGTATAAAGTGTAATTGAAACCACTAATTTATTCCACTAATTGCGAGGATCTAATGAAGCAAACATAAATTTAAAAAAAACGATTTCTCCTTTTTTTCGAGCACCACTTCCATTCACCGTTAGAATTTTTTTTTAGAATTTAGAATGAGTGGGAGGGGGGTTAATCACTTCGACCTTACAGATCCATTGTGTCCCCCTTTCTTGAATCATAACTCATCATACAGTCCCAGGGCTTTGACAAAAGCCAGTATCTGGGACGGTTTTATAGAGGGTAGTTCTCCATCTCCAATATCAGTCGTACCAAAATTCATGGCACGAATGGTTGTCGTCTCGGCGCACTCAGTGATGAGGTGTACTGGTGTTTCACCATCTTCCCCACAGAATCTGCATTCGCCGTTTCTTCTTAGTTTCAATCTACTGAGGTGTTCATTGATGAGACAGTGTCCTGTTAAAACCCGTGACAATCCGAAGATTGTTCTTACTCAGACCCAGAAGATCTGTGATTTTTCTTGATCATAAGCCCTCAGAAACTTCTTCGAGTGTGTCCTAGACCATTGCAAGATTTCCATTCCAGGTTGCGGATGGAATCTTCCAAGTTCTTGAGTTCCGCCTTGAGTTGGTTACCACTTGGAAGCTGGTATCAGAACGGTTCTGGTCCAGTTGAGTGGAGTGTTCCGCTCCTTTCCTAGCTAGATTATTTGCTTTTTTCATTGCCTTCTATCCCTTGGTGAGCAGGCACCCAGTGTAGGAGGACTTTGTTTTCTTTGCCTAATTTATTCAGCTTCTCTAAGCATTCTTTGACCAATTTCGAATCGATTGATACTGAGTTGATCGCCTTTAACGCTGCTTGACTATCAGATAAGATGGCTATTTCTTGTGTCCGATAGTTCCTATCTAAGATAAGTTGTACGCATCTCTCGATAGCGTAGATTTCTGCCTGTAGGATACTAGGGCCCATTGGTTCGGAGTAATTAGCTCTCGGCCCAAACACTCCGATCCCTGTTCCCGTATTGGATTTGGAAGCATCAGTATACCAAGTTATGGTATGGTCTTTTAACTGATGGGCAAGCGTTTCGCTCTTCCAATCCTTCTTATTGCTCAATACTACATTGACATGTTTGTCAAAGTTGTACGTTCTTGGCATATCGTCCACTGGGAGTTGCAGGAGTGGTACTTCCTTTTTGAGGGTGTTCCAAGCCCCTGATCTGACAATTCTCCCAGTACTAATTCCGTTAGTGACCATTCTAATCATTTCGCATTGGCATATCTACCAATGACAATGTGCAGTGGTGTTAGATCTAGAATGACCTCCATTGCTGCTGTTGGACAGGTTCTCATGGCTCTCCTGTGATGCACACACATGCTAGTCTCTGGACTTTGCATAGGTTTAGCCTTGCCGTCCGTTGCTCTAGCCTTTGTGTACCAGGCAACTGCTCCATAAGTAATCATGGGTCTTACTATCATGGTATACATCCAGCGCAAAATGTTAGGGGAGCAGCCTACGCATCTATTTCTGGCCAGTCTTCTGCATATCATGAGAGCCTTTGTGGCTTTGCTGGTAGTGTTCTTAATATGCCTGTTCCAAATGAGTTTACTATCCAGGGTTATACCCAGATATTTAACTTCCTGTGATGGCAGTATTTCCTTTCCATCTAGTTGGATTCTTTTCAAGTTTTTCAGACTTCACTTTCTGGTAAATGGCACTATCGCGGTTTTGTCTGAGTTGATACACAGCCCGACAGTCCTGCACCATCTCTCAGTGATACGGAGTCGTCTTTGGATAATATCACACAGGGTGCCTTCATGTTTCCCCCGAGCGATCATGACTATGTCATCTGCATACCCAATGCAGTGTATTCCCGCTAGAGTTAATTCGTCTAGTAGTTCATCCACTACCAAGCTCCACAGCAAAGGGGAGGTTACTCCACCTTGTGGAGTTCCTTGCGTTGTTTTAACAGCTACAGTTTTGGTACCCATCTGAGCCTCTCGTGTTGACAGCATCTCCCAAAACCAGCGAATAATAGTTCTGTTCACCCCTCTTGTTTCTAGAGATCGCCTGACCACCTTATGTGGTATATTGTCAAACGCCCCCGCAATATCCAAGAAGGCACAAATTGCTATTTCTTTGCTATTCAGACTTGTCTGTATTAGCTCCGTTAATTGGCACAGAGCAGTTTCTGTGGATCTGCCCGTTCTATATGCATGCTGACTATCATGCAGTGGTTTAACCTTTATATGATTTTCTCCAATATGGTTGTCAACTACTTTCTCCAGCGTTTTTAGTATGAACGATGTGAGACTAATAGGCCTAAATGACTTGGGATTTGTCCAGTCAGTTTTGTCTATTTTGGGTATGAAGATTACTTTTGCTCTTCTCCATGTGGTTGGTATATATCCCATCGCTAGACTGCTTCTTGTAATGCTTAGTAGATGGTGAGTAGCTATTTGCTGACCTTCCTTTAGAAGGGCAGGAAAGGTCCCATCTACTCCTGCTGCTTTATAGGGCTGAAAGGTGTCGATCGCCCATTTCAGTTTTTGTTCTGTTATTACTAGCTTGGCCACTTCCCAATCTTCCCTGCAAGGATTGTGGGGTTCAGTGGGAGCTACATGAGTATCAATAGGTATGCTACCTGGAAAGTGTATATAAAGTAGGAGATTTGCTCTCTCTTCCTCTCCCTCCGTGTAGCTTCCGTCAGATTTCTTAAGTGCCATGTTGAGGATAGATCCACTCTTGGCCATAGCTTTATGTAATCTAGCTGCATCAGGAGTAGAAGTGATGTTTTCGCAAAAGGATCTAAAGTCAGACCGCTTTGCTCTTCTTATCTCATTATACTCAGTTAATTTCTCGCTGTAGAGCTGCCATTCGGCACTGGATTTAGCTCTATTAAAGAGTCGGCGGACCTCCGATCTAAGATTGGCCAACTTCTTGTTCCACCAGGGCTTGTTGTTACTTTTTTGTATGCCTTTACTTGCGGGGCAACTAGATTCGTATGCATCCAATATTGCACCGCTGACTTCCCTTTCGTACCATTCTAGATGCAGATGGTTTCTGGCCCTACTTGCATCTATACGGTTTAGGTTGTCTACGAGATTGGTGTTATATATGTCCCAGTCTGTTTTTCTTGGATTCCTTCGAGTTTCTGTTTGGAGTGTGATTTCTCCTAATTTGAACTCGATGATTCTGTGATCTGATAGGGAGAGTTCCGTTGAGACCCTCCATTGTTTCACGTAACTGATTACACCAGCACTCCCGATTGTTAAATCTAACACTTCTGCCCGCGTTTTTGTCACAAACGTGGGGGTTTTTGTCACAAACGTATAATTGAGAACTTCAAGATTGCATGCTAAGAGGAATTCAAGTAAACACTCACCTCTAGTGTTAGTGTTAGTGCTTCCCCATACCTCATTGTGTGTATTGGAGTCGCATCCCAATAGCAGAGGTAGTCGCCGTTGGCTGCAGAATTGCACGAGCTCCCGTACCTCCGGAGGCGGTGCCTCCCCGTCACCCGGAAAGTAAGCAGAGGCAATCACGATGTCTTTACTGCAATCCTCGATATTATGCTGAACCATGATAGGAACAAGATCTCGGGTTGTAAATTCTGAAACACATGTGTAGTTAATGTCCTTTCTTAAGTAAGACTACAGGCTCTAAATTCCTGCCTGTTATCATATATTACCTTTGAATTTTTTCCAGACAAACCTCTAATTTGTCCCTGATACACCCAGGGTTCCTGGGCTAGTACCATTGCGTAATGATTTTTCTCAAGAGTCTTGCTATTGTGGCGGAAGACCCTTTGCATGGTGCAGGGTTTATTTGGGATATCCCATGCATGTGGGGGGGAAGGAAGAGAAAGGATAAGTTTGGGGTGGGAAGAGGGGCTGGAGTAGGACTTTGGACCTGGTTTAGGTTACTGGGGTGTGTGAGAATTCTCCCGTTGTAGAGGGGATAGGGTGTTCCTCATCTTCCTCTGACAACGGAAGTTCCTCCTCCGAGAAGTGGCCATCAACCTTCTCCGAGGATATACACGCTTCCACGGTTGGGGTTTGGCCCTCCCTGCCCTTCACAGTCGAGGAGCTAGTCTTCGGCTGAGGTACCTGTGAGGTAGAGGCTGGAGGATCTGTCTCCATTTTCTCTACCTGTTTAGCTTGGTCTCTTCTTAGACCTGATACCGGTGTTGTCCCGAATCTATAGTAAAGAGTGTATCCTCTTTCTCTATTGCCTCCTTGGATTTGAGGTCAATTCCTATTGTGAGGACTTGGCCGTGGCCCTCCTCCCTCGAGTTGATGATTCGCCAATACGACGTCCTTACATCGGAGTTCTGACCCTGGATAAAGGTTCAGCAGGTAGGTGGTGTCTTTCCCTTTGCTCCTTGGCAAAAAGACCGTGATGGTCGCCTCATTAGGGATGTTTTCTCCCTTCAGAGCAACCAGTCCCGGCCCCTGCCAATTCTTAAGTTTAGGTGCCGTTTCTATCAACCAATCATGCCCACCCGAAAGTGAATCCCCGCAAATCGCATTTGACCCATATTTTGTCCGTCGTTGTGTTGCTCTCCAATCGCCACTACTTCGTCCAGTATCGCCTCTTCTAGAGCCGTTTGCTGGTCGGTGGTCACAACCTCTGGGTAATCCTTTGGTAGCACTGCCATTTTCACTTGTCCAGCAACAGAGGCAAAGCTGGTGATATGACCCTGCTTGCCTCTCGGTGTTGGACGTCTTTCCATCCTGGCTTTTTTCTCTTCTTGCCGGAGCAGAGGTGAAAGGTTTTCGTTCCCTCTTTTGCCCTTTGGTGGAGATGCGCCGGCCTGTTTCTTGGTTCCTTTACCCTCCCCTCTATGGAGAGTACTTTCTCTTTTGCTTCCTCTGGAGCAAGTCCTGCGTGGAGCAGTCGGAGGTATCTCCGTGCTTCTGCTCCGCTAAGACCCACTCTCAGCGGATCGTCCAACCCGCCTGGTTGACCCAGGCCAGGTAGACTAAACGGTAGTCTGTGTCGCCTGTTGGGTTTAGAGGTAAGCTCCCGACCCTTGCTAAAGGAGGTGGTAGCTTGAGTATCACTAGCGCAGGACGGTCCCGCGCAAGTGTCAGCCACCTCTCCTGTAGTTTTCTTTGGGGGGTTTGACCCCCTGGAACTTTCATTGTTCCTGTTCCCAGTGTCGCTAGGGGGTTTCCCCACAGCTTCTCCGGTGGTGTTGGTGTTTTTATTTTTATTACTGCTCATAGTGTTCCCACGAGTCGCTAGGGAAAGTCAGTCCACTTCTACAGAGCCCCGCATGTAGAAGTAAGGGGTAAATACAATGGGGTGCCCCCTGATGCCCCAAGGTTGAGACCAGTAATGGCTAGTCCCCTATCTAGCCACGCATCCCTTTGACCTGGTCCCGCCATCGTAGGATTTAGGTTTTTGGTGAGGTTGTCTCCTCTTGGTCCAGGCGGTTAAGCCAAGACCCCCCCACACCCTCTACCCGCGAGACATGACCACAGACAGTAGAAGGTGCCTGGTTTAAATGTCTTGGTGCAATTCCCTGGCCACTACAGCCAGAGACAAGACAATGAGTGAGATGCTTCTTGGACCGAGCCAAAGTGCTAGAGGAGATTCTGCCAGCACCTGACAAGGAGCTTCCCCACCAACGACAAGGTCTTGCATCTCCTAGGGGAAGTCCATTCACCGTTTCTCGTGTCCCTTCTAGTACTTAAGGTGGTGTATAGAAATGATGCCAAAAGTTCTAATAATATACAGGGTGTCCCAGAAGTAAGTGCAGATATTTGAACTGGTTAGTTCGACCCAAGAAACACGCCCATGAAGATTTTATGTGATTTTTTTTTGTATTTGGGTCATAAATGATCTAAATACAAAATATTTTCATGGTGTCTGTCTGGCTGTCTGCCTGTCCGTCTGTAACACGATAACTCTTCTTCTTCTTTTACAGTGCCATACTCTATACAGAGCGTCGGCTACCTCTCGCATGTACATGTGATGTGTGTCATCAGTGTTTCACAAATACACGATAACTCAAAAACCGCTAAACCGATTTTAAACAAATTTGGCACAAAAATACTGTGGCACCAGAAAATCTGGCTATTAGTTTTTGGTGGGGGTGGGGAGTTGGTAAGGGGGTATGGGAGGGGGTTAAAAATTTTAAAAAATCGTAACTCTAAAATTACAGTAGCTAGCGAAACGCGGTTTTCAATTTAAGATTAGGTATAATATTTGCAACAAAATTCGTAATAACATCAAAATCAGTCAAAGTCGCAGTTTTTGATATATTCCGTGTTTCCGTAGTTCGTTTTTGAGAAAATCCGTGTGGAGAACTCCAAACTCCCATCGGACGCGACCCCAGGTGGCGGATAGGGGAAATAACCGCGGACCAAAATTGGAAAAACTCCTTTACTTTGAAACTAAAAGAATTGCCTACCAACTTTTTATTAACATATTTTAGTATGGGCGGCTATACGTGCCTCCCGGCGCAAATTTTTTGTTAAGTTAAATAACTCGGTTATTATCAATTTATTTTAAAAATGGTAAAGGGAAAATATGTTTCTTTTGACCAGATCTACCACCCCTTAAAATATCAGCACTTATTTCTGGGGCATCCTGTATATTCAATTCTGATAAATATCTTGCTTCAGATTTCTGAACTCAACACAGACAAAGTTCCAATATTCAGTTTGTCTTTTGGCGATGGAGCCGATAGAGAGTTTCTTCTAAAGCTTTCCTTGAGAAATCAGGGCTTCACCAAACACATTTACGAGGCTGCAGATGCCGCCATGCAGCTGCAAGATTTTTACAAGGAAATATCCTCACCCCTACTGTCTGACGTAAATTTCAAATACAGCGATGAAGTTACAAACGTCACCAGAATACATTTTCCCATCTTGTTTGGTGGTGGTGAACTATACACAAGTGGACTGACAAGTAAGTGTTGTGTGTACCAAACCAATATAGTCTTGGTGCATTCTCCGCCGGTTTTGCCACCATCAGAGAATACTATATAAAAATCTATAAAAATGAACCATTTATCACTTTCAAACATTAAGATACTTTCTGCATTTTTTATTATTATATTTTATCAACATAACTTATGTACAAATAAAAAAGTTTTAATATTGCACAGGAATAAATAAAATATTTTATTAATAATAAATTCAATAACTTACAAATACTTTCAATGTTACTTAGTATAAGGAAAAATTAACATATAGAAATGGCGCACCAAACTCGCAAAATGTCAATTTTTTAAGAGAAAATGCAAAAATTAGTTTTTCACTCGATCTAAATTAAATAATTACGTCATATTAGTTGTAATATTTTTACAGGAAACATGTTTAAATCACCACCTGTAGAAGGCATGGGTTGCAGAGGTCCAGTTACATTTATTCCAGTTGTTTCTAAAGTTGCTAACAGTCTAGAACGACTCTGGGCTTATTTGACTATAAAAAAACTTCTAGAGCAACGTAAAATTGAAGACGACAAAGATCTTACCAAAGAAGCCTTAAGGTAAATACTATTTAGTTTTTAAAATACCGTTAATAGTAGAGCCCAAGGAACCCGATTTTTGACCGAGATCTACCGCATGCTGCACAACAAACGATTTTATAGTATATTTTCTCGATTTGCAATAATGCCACTGTTAATATACAGGGTTCGGCAATAGTGCAATGGTTCGGCAATCTGTAAATACTAGAATAAAAACTTAGAATTTTGTTTTGGTTTGGTTGAGTGCAAACCTAAGTATGTACTAGGGTGTATTTCAGGAAAATATTTTAACATCAATAAGGTGGCTCAAAATGTGTTAGTATATTGGGATGATTTTTTTAAAATAAAACACCCTGTATATTATTGCTTTTTTGGCTTTCTTTCAGATTACTTTCCATAATCTTAAGATATGAGTAAATATATTTCGATAATGTCAAAGATATTAATAAATAAATAAAAACTATATTTTTCAACCTTGCTTAAAAAATTATTACAAATACAAAAGCTGTCTTGAAATCAAAACTATTATATTAGGTATTTACTTTAGATGGTATATACTTAACTTTGCTATAAATATCGTAACCTTCAATCATGCAGGGTGTTCAAAATTCTACACTAAACTTTCTAAAATATAAAATAATTTTTCTTTTTTGTTTAAATGGGACACCCGGCATATTATTTTTTATTAGATGAAGAGTTAAAAAATGTTGTATTTAAAGTATATCAAAATTTTTAATGGTTTTGTAGATACACGCAATATTATTTTATATGGCCTTTTGAACTAGTGACGGGAATACCGGTTCCACATGAGTCGCGTTACAATAGCGACCGTTCCAGAAAAATACCGCGACAAAATACCGCGATTTTGTAATCGAGGGTCCAACTTCCTAAGTGTCGCGGTCCTCGCTTATGTAGTTTTCTGGCATTGGTACCTACTTTTATTTTATACTACCTACCTAGTCCCACAAACCACTGTCAAAAAAAATTATTTATTGGTGACCGGTTTCGGCAATTCCAGCCATCATCAGACCTTAAAAATAGATATAAACAATAAAACTTATATAAATATATAAAAGCAAATAAAATTTTCATTTTATTTTATTTGCTTTTACGTTTCATCTTTCAAACAACGCTATTTTATACCATGCTTACATACCAAAAATCGCTATTTCAAAAGTAACGTAGCGACGGCGATGGGAGCACCAACGCCAATAGTAACCGACCCAATCGCTACAGGCGAAAACGAATCCCTAGAAGCTTTTTTTTGTGAGGGAGTGGTTTAAAAATCTTTTATAGACGAATAGTGATCATTTCCATGACCATCTCGAGAGAGACAGTCATAGAAATAACCCCTAGACAGTGTGGGATTCGAAATACCTCCGAGGAATCAGCGGCCGAAGAATGGCAGCTCTTATTCCTGCTTATGTGTTGGGGAAGGGAAGTGTTGGTGCCTGAAGGCTAGTATTGTTCCGGCTGACTAAGGATGTTAGTATTGGGATTACGATTTCTCGGATTTTTTGGGCATGAATTGTGGCTAGCTGGATGCGGACCTCCGCAATTTGAACAAATTGCAGGTGCATCAGCCTCTTTATCACAGGATTTGGTGTGATGGGATTTGGCGCACCTTACGCAACGCGAGGCCGCAAAGCAGTTCGAGGCGGCATGGCCGAATTGCTGGCAATTGTGGCACTGACGTACCCCATTACCGCGCCTCGGCGTCACCACCCGAACCCTCAGCGAGCACACATGCGTGGTGTCGAAGATGTGGGTTTGGTGTTTGTGTACTCTGACCTTGACGATGGCCATAGGAATACCGTCTCGTGAGAGACGATGCATTTCTCTGACCTCGAAGCTTTGGGAAGTAAGGTCCTCAATTATTGCCGAGTTGTCGACAAAAACTTCAACACCTTTGATTAGAACATTAAGATCCCTGTCATCAGGGGAAAAATAAGTATGAAAGGGTATTTTCTTGCTTTTGAAATAGTCGACGATGGCCCTATGGTCATCGGAAGAAGAGGAAGTGATTCTAATGCCGAGAGGCACAGTTTTTGCTTCGGAAAAGCAGATTTTCTGCTCTTTGAAAGTTCTTGTGATGCTCATCCAGAGACGAGTATCACGAAGTACGACTTGGGGAGGCTTTTTGGGCCCTTTGCTTTTTTAGATTGAGGCTCCTGCTGCATTTGAGGAACAGCAGGGGGAATTTTAGGTTGAGGCTCCTGCTGTGTTTGAAGAACAGCAGGGAGGGGTTTGGGTTGGGACGCCTGTTGCGTTTGAGGAGCAACAGCGGGAGGGTTTACGATTTTTGGGACCTGACGTTCCAGGCAATCGGGCTTTTATATCGGGATTTGCACCTGCTGAAGTTGTGCAGGGTGAGGATGGTGGACGAGCTGGGAAGCCTCCCTTGAGGCTAACTTTTCTCTGGGATTGGTGATGATGCAAGAGACTCGTCAGTACTGGCCTGACTCGTCTTTTTACTGATCACGTTTCTACTGAAGTTTATTACATTGTGACTGATTTTATGGCGCTCAAGAATTGAACGGACTAGATTTTTCTTTTCTCTAAAGAAATGATAAGAGTAGATTAAGTCTTGAATTTCGTCAGGGGAGTAATCCCTTGACCGATCAAGCCTGATGAAAGGTTCAGGATGGGTTGCGATCTTGCGATCGACAGGGAATAGAATGGGTTTGGAATCTGAATATATGGAATCTGAATCTATGGTAGTTTTTTCTAATCTGAGGTGATTAGGCTTGCCATGATAGGCGATTGGGAAGAAGGAGAAACGACCCTTGGAGAGGGCCGTATTGAGCGGAGCTTGCTCTGAAGAGTCGAGCAAGCTTGTGATGTAGGGAAGCACTTACCGAGCGCGAAAACACTATGAGAGCTGCGATGTTCACTGAACGATGCGCGGTACTCGAATGAATCTAGCAGCGCTCCAGCAACTGCTGGAACGAAGTAAGCCGCCTCCGAGGTCGAGCGTCGATAGCCGTAAATTACAGCAGTACGCTAGAGATGGGCGGTTATTGGTAAAAACCGGTTATAGGTTAACCGGAATTATCTTTAAAAATAATAACTTGACAAAATTAACCGACACAAATTAACCGGTTATCCAAATAACCTAACCTAGCAAAACTAAATATTTAGTTTTCCTATAGGTTTACTTTACCTCTACACTCCATAGGTCTACTTCAAATTTAGATAATAAACTTAGTTAAATCGTATGATTAAATAGAGATTGTAGCAATGTAAGTATGTATATGTACAAAATGAATTTAAACAAAAATGCTAACCTCACTTTTTTGAGTAGACATGGATATGATATTGAACTCACAAGTTCTACAATCTACAACCAAGTTATTTTAATCAAATACCAAAGAAAAATAAGGAGACTGAATGAATAGATAAAGAAAGATTAACTTCATTCATTATTTGAACTTCAATTTTGTATTCTTTAGTCTAAGCTTCAAGAGAGACTTCAAACTACAAATAAAATATATTTACGGTGAAACGTGGGTGAAACTGGGCGAAACCATGGAAGACTTTTGAAGAACCGTTGAAAATCCGTTAAAGTCGGTTAAAATTTAAATATAGAATTTAGAGAATCTATTTGAAGTTAGGTTCGTATCACTTGGCTAGCTGGTGGCTAGTAGTAGTCTATGCCATTAGTACTTTGTTTTACGGCCTGACCTGTCAGGGCCATTTGGCCGTTGTTTTGATTATTATCATCAGGGTTCGCCTGATGCCTGATTTAATTTTGACATTTGATGTTTGATGTCATATATTTTCGTTTTGGGAGCGGGAGCGGGATCTCCCGTTATCGTCGTAATATCTGGAAGATCCGTGCCGTTCGCTCCTTCGAAATTTACGATTCAAACAGCTAATATTTAATTGTTACTTGTTTTAAACAAGTACGATTTTTTAAAAAATAACCGGCTATAGGTTATTGAACGTAATGCAAGGTTATTAGGTTAACTGGTGAAAAAACTACCTTTAAATAACCGGTTATTTTAGAGGAAAATACCGGTTATTCAAAAACCGGTTACTTTTGCCCATCTCTACAGTACGCGACAGGGAACTAAAACTCTAGGAGCACGACGGCTGGAGCAGAAGTAGGCCGCCGCGCCGCCGAGCTCGAGCGTCGATGCCCACAGGTGGATGACACTTCTTATGGGAGAACTGGCAATGGTTCTAAACTTCACTACAAGCTTTTTTCTAGGAATCTTCCTTACCGATAAATTATTGACGAGGTGACAGATAAAACCTTGACGTTCTTTCAGTATTACAGTTCATCTCTTTTTTTCTTTCTAAAGTGTGCGTTGAAAGGAGACAAAATAATTTTTGGTAGCCCATAATTTAGGGATAGGACCGATAGTAAAATATATATTTTATGGATACCTTCCTAAATATCAACTAGATGAGCCATCGGAAGAAAGGAACCATAGTACAAAACAGAAGGTGATCTTTTTTCTTTCCACTTAGGATATTGAAATTATTATATACTGTAGTCGTGTTCGGCATTATGCTCTGAGAAATATAGAAAACAAAGAAAGAACAGATATAAAGCATCCCAGACGAAAAGAGAGGCAATACCTGTACTCTCTCTGATATTTGTGAAAGTTACGGCAAAGTATTGGTGTAAATGTCATCTTTTGATCGACCTGAAAACTTCGAGCAAAAAAGATGACACTTTCAACAATACCCTGACAGATATCAGAGACGATACAGGTTTTCCTCTCTTTTCCCCTGGAAATACTTTTAATTTATTATTCTTTGTTTATCTAGATTTATCAGAGCACTATGAACGAACTCAGCTTGTATGTTTGAAATAATCGTCCAGTTGGCTTAAAAATGATGATCGATGACATTTCCCATATAATTTTACTTTGAAAATTATGATATATATCTTCATTTCTAAGCCATCTATGACGCCATTTTTTTCAATTTTGATATAATTAATTTTATCTCTTGATCTATTTGTAACATTATTCTTTTAATTTTATTAATTTATGGCGGTGAAATTAATTTCTGTTGTATATTTGATATTGATATTAAACATATTTTTAAAAAATGGTGTATTTTTTGTGTTTTTATGTATGTCATAATTAAAAATAAATGAAGAATAACTTTTTTTAATTTTTTTAAACTTCCCGCCATGCGTGACAATCTAGTCCGTAGTTCCTACAAGCGATATTGGGGGCGCTAGTAGCAGTAGACTTGTCAACAGTGTCAAATTTAAACGTCAATTTCACTTTCCAATATTTAGCAAGGCGCTAGCACTTCTTGTGTATGTGTTTTGTGGATGCCCAGTTACAGCAGTTACGCGACAGGGAACTACAACTCTAGGAGCGCCATGGCTGGAGCGAACACGTCGCCGTCGCCTACGGTTCAAGCTAACTTAAGAACGATTATAAATAATTTATTTGCAAATTATAAATAATTTATAATTTTGTCGTCATTATGATCGTCGTTCTTCAGTAACAGGCGACACGGCGTTACAAAAAAATACCGTTCCAAAATCGCGTTACTCAAATACCGACACATCACTACTTTGAACGGTAAAATACTAGAGAAAAATCATTGGGTGGCTTTGATAAAAATTTACTCTGGAAAATGCCATTATGAAATATAAAACCGCGAATATCTGCGAATGCAATAATATGCAGGGTGTTCCATTATATTATACAGGGTTCGGACACAATATCGTTCTGTTATTTACTACCTCTTAACAAAACTGGACACTGTTTTTTCATTCGATATAAGTTATATTAAACTAAGATTTTTTTTTATTCAAAGGTTTTAATTAATAACATATTTTTTGACAGATTGGCTCTGAAATACTCATTTGTCACAGACGTGAGCTCCTTATTAGTGGTAAAACCTGATTCGTCTTCGTCGGTAGATACAGAGGATGCTTCTAAACCAACCACGACTTCAGGGAATTGTAAGTTTATTTTTAAAATATGGCTTTACCAAAACTGCTTCAGATTCCTTAGGCATATGTTACCGGCAAATAGTACAAAATTAAGACATCCTGTATAAAATCTAGGTATTCTATAAAATGACTAACGAATTCGGGCAATATGTGAAATTTAAATGTTTTTATATATTTTACCTAGACATTTCATGAAATACTTGGGGTTTCCATAAAATACCTATACAGGGTCCGACAATAGTGCGTCGGGCATCTGTAACTCCTAGAATAAAAAACTTGAGAATTTTGTTTAAGTGCAAACCTAAAGTATGTATGAGGATGTATTTCCGGAAAATATTTTAACTTCTATAGGGTGGCTCAAAAAAGTATAAGAGGATCTGGATGACTTTTTTTAAATGGAACACCCTCTATATTATTGTATTTTCGGTATTCCTGAAACATCTTGTGGTATTACATTCTATAATCATTTACCATGTTATCAATGAGGTCGTCAGCATAAATTTCACCTGTCATTGTACCTTCACAGACATACAATTGCATTGCATCCCTTTGGAGGTGGAGGTGTAATGGTCTGGGGTGGAATTTTCTACGGTTCTATCTTGAACATATATTCTTGAACATATCGATCGTTAAGTCTTGTATTTCTTGGTCTCCACACACGAACTGTACGTCTGTCAGTACGAAGACAAAATCGGCTTTCATCGCTGAACATCACAGTATGCCACTCATCATTCCAGTTAGCTATTTAATTACACCGGAGCAAACGTTATGACCTGAGGTCAACGGAGGGCGTTTTATAGGCCTATAGCAATGTAAATCTATTTTTTAATCGATTTAAGACCGTCCGAGGGGTAATACGTACTCTGCTGGCAGCGAAAAGGTTCTGGCTGAGCAACGTGCAGTTTCTTGCAGGATCCATCCTAGCTCCTTTCAGTAAGCTTCGGTCCTCCCTAGCCTATCCTCACTATGCCTCTCCATAACATCCAGTCTCATTAAACCAGTTTTTAGGTCTCGAAATTACACTTTGGGTGACATTAAATCGATCAGCTACATCGATCTGTCGCGCACCGCCAAGAAGTACCTAATGGCTTGATTTGTTTCCTCTACTGTTAAATGATGTCTGTTCATATTATCGATGACAGAATAACCGCAGTATCGCAAACTGCCGCTTAGCAACACGCACACAAGTTCTATTCTAAACAAAAATTAAATGTACATTTTGGATGACAATGCTTTTTATTTGTTTTTTATTTGTTTGGTTACAATTTTATATATTTACAAAAAGTATTTTTTTAAACACAAACGACATAGGTATTAATAGCTATAACACATTTTTTTCTGAAAAATTTTCTTCCTAGCGAAAACGCAATATCCTTAACTTTTTTCACTTAGTTTATATGTTCATATACCTAAATTTTTTAATTTTATAAATAATAAAATTCTATTATTATAATTTCATTTCAGGAATTTCTTTACCATGACAATTTAAGAAATTTAGCAAGTAAAGTCTAATATAAAGTTTGAACATTTGTGATGGTAACGGATTTTAACACCCACAGTAACAGCCACCTAGATGTTATTAAATAATAAAGATCTACTCAGATCAAATCGTGTAAATGAAAATATCTAGGAAAATCTTTGTTTGGGGGTAGGCAACCTTAATAGTATTTTGAAGAGACATGAATTCTCCATTGAATATATACTGGGAATATACTGGGTGTTCCATTTAAAACAATAGAGTAACATGCTTTTAAAGGTGACCAATGTTCAATATTAATTTTGTCTCACCCTGTATAACTTTTTGGATCAACTTTAATTTGATTTAAAGTACAATAGTTAATTTAACTACATATTAGGCTATACCGGGTAAATTCCAATTTAGGTAGCTTTTATTGTAATTTAAAAATTGTTCTTTATTTCTAGAAAATGTTAAATATGTTAAAAACCTTACATTTTAGTCATATCTTTCTTTTATAAAACTCACCTTTATTTTTCTCCCAAAAAACACAACTTTGATATGTACTTTTTTTGGGGACACCCTGTAGAACTCTCTATATTTTTAAAAAGTGCTCTGAATTAACCTACATATACGCTTACAAAATTTAATATCAATACAAACTGTCGTCCTCCTTGGAGCCTCCGCAGCGTATGAGAGGCGCCACCCTGTATATTATACAGGGTGTCCCAGAAATAAGTGCAAGTATTTTAACTGGTAGTGTAGTTCAATCCCAGAAACACGCCTATAAGGTTTTTTTCGCGAAAAAAAAAATTGAAAATTCTAAAATTCAATTTTTTGAAAAAAAATTTGGAAATTTTTTAATTTTTAGTTAAAAAACATAATTTCTTGATAATATGGCAACATAGGTATTAGATTAAATTTAGAAGAAAGAAAATCCAGAAAAGATCCCGTGGTTCTCAAAATTTTAGCAAAAAATCTTTTTTTTTTGGAAATTTTCAAAGTAAAATAACTCCGTTATTTTGGACTTATTTGAAAAACGATAAAGAGAAAATATATTTCTTTTATCGAATCTACCACCCTTAAGACACTTGCACTTATTTCTGAGACACCCTGTATATATTGCAAATATACATTTTTTGAATGAAATTCCATACATTGCCAATTATCAAATCGGTGTTCTATAAAATGCTTAGGAGATGTATACCGGGTGCGTCTCGAAAGTGGCTCACCCCTATAACTTTTTTTATTTTTTCAGATAAAAATACGCGATTTGGTCTGTTAGTATACGACATAAATTAGGATTGATTGACGCATTCAATTGTTTTTAGTCACTTCCTATTTCACCGGAAATGACTATAACTTCGAATATTTCTACTTTATTTGTAGAAAATGACACTCTGGATAGAATGACATATCATATGTCAACTTTTGACATTGTCGCTTAAAAACAAATGGTATTTTAAATCTTAATTTAGGGTGCCATGGCGGTGTTAAAACATTAGTTTTAATCAAGAAGCTCTGGAAAAATAGTTTTGATTGTCTAATGTTTTTCGTATCTTGTCTAGGCCGGTTAAAAGATGCCCAAATCGTATTTTTAATCATATCTCAATTTTTTTCAAATTGGTTAAGGGTGACTCATTAGCATATTATTTGGAAAACGCATTTTTTTATGAATATATTGATACCACACACTTGGTATTTCGAGTCAAAGAAGTCGTTTCCGGTGAAACAGTAAGTGACCAAAAACAAGTGAATCCGTTAATCAATCCTAATTTATGTCATATACTAACATACCAAATCTCGTTTTTTTATTTAAAAAAATAAAAAAGTTATAGGGGTGAGCCACTTTTGGGACGCATCCGGTTTAATATAATTTTATTTCAGACAATGCCTGATAGTTTTGAGAATTTTATATAATACTATACAATTTCTAACGAATATATAACGAACTATACGAATTCTATACAATTTCGGATTTTAAACTTTGCCGGTAACACATTATACTATTAAATTCAATTTTTTTAATATTTCTATTCCTTTATCTTATAGTTCAGTCATTGGGATCAAAAAAGGAACCTGCTTGGAAAAAAGTCCGGAAGTTTTGAAACTTTGCAGGTTTACAGGTTTTGGGGTACCTAACTAAAATCCATAAAATGCACATTTCCAGACTTGCCGCCGGCGCCGCCATCTTGCTAAGATGGCGCCCAAAATCGGTATTTTGTGAATATCTCGAATATTACCTCTTGGGTGGTGTGGAAACAAGTACACATTTTCAATAATTAACATTAATTATTCATAAATTAATGAGCGAATTAATGATACGCCACTGTTTTATGACAAAATTGAAGAAATTAAACTAAAATTAGTTTTAGTAAACCCTAATCGACATTTGATTTCGGAAAATCGACTATACGTAATATATCATATTTTACGCAAAATTGTAAAATTTCCAGGGATTTTGTACCTAAATGGTTGACTTTAGCGAAAATATTTATAAAATCTTTTTTATAGGAAATATATATATTTATTCTCTTTAATTTTGCTCTCCTCAAATTTTCGTCAAAAACGCATAGTTTTCGAGATATTCACAAAATACCGATTTTGGGCGCCATCTTGGCAAGATGGCGGCGCCGGCGGTAAGTCTGGAAATGTGCATTTTATGGATTTTAGTTAGGTACCCCAAAACCTATAAACCTGCAAAGTTGCAAAACTTCCGGACTTTTTTCCAAGCAAAAATCCCCAATGACTGAACTATTATATTTATACTGTGTTTATACCTATACTTAAAATAATATAAAATATTAAAGCTAGTTATGCCAGTTCACCAAACTTCAGTCCAACTTCAGTTCACCCAAGGAGTTTAAAAATGATGGGTAAGTTCTTGTATAGTTATTTATTCATTTATACAGGGTATATCCATACAATATTCCGTGGCAATAGAACTACTACGTAAAATCTGTTCAACGACTCGGGAAGATTTCGACAGATGACATCCAAAAAATGACAGAACATACAATTTACCAGTAAATTTAAATGACAAACGCAACTCTCCCTGTCATGTCTCCTATCGTTGGACAGACTATACAGGGTGGTGCACCTCATTTGCTTCGGTTAATTATTATACAAAAAGGGAAAGATGTAGAAACAAAATATTTTGTGGGTATATGTGGGAAGGCAATGTGCATAATTTAAAATTATTTTCAAATGTACAGGGTGGGTCAAATTCGACGCTTTTAAATGGAAACACCCTTTTCTATAGGTGATAGACAAAAACTAATATCGGTGTCTGGAGCTCAATTTTTGTCAAAAACATGATGGTGAAAACCGCATATCGATATCTGTTACCGTTTCGGAGTTACGGGGTGTTTTTCAAAAATATGCATTTTTAACAAATCGCTGTAACTTTTTTGCTATGGAAAATTTTGTATTTTTATGAAAACATTTCCAACGCACCTTTTTACGTAGAATTTAATGGTTTAAATATACTTTTTTTAAAATTAATAATTAAGAATTATCAACAGAAAATTTGATTTTTTATATGGGACACCCTGTATATTTTTAATTTATTGCAAAGAATTTAAAATTACCTTTCCGAAAATATAACACACTTAATATTTTGCTCGATTCCTCTTCGAGATATTGAGTATATAAAAATTCTCCGGCTTTAAATAAGTAAACTTTGAACGGCACCGGCTGTAATGCAAAAAAAATTCTAGCTGTGAGCATCAATTAAAACAAAAATAATATTTGCTATGAGAGATGCAGAATTTTATAACAATTTAAAAAATATTTAACCAACATTAATACATTTAAACTATATCTAATAACAATAAAAGTAAATAGCAAACCAAGACATGAGATTTTGCTACAGGTGTTCGACATATCGACCGTCTTCTGTTATGGACAGACGGGGCAGTTTTTGAACATTTCTCGCGGAATTCACTAACTAGTGGGGGTGAAAGATACCCTCTCATAACTGCTAAGTATTTCTAATTCTTGTCTAGATTATACGGAAGAATAAGGAACCTTAATTCTTTCGCAAATATATCCATAGGATTAGATCCATGGGCACTAAGTCAGGCGGCCTCGACGGCCAACGGCTGAAAGCTTGGTTAGCTATTCAATTATTCTTGAAATTGGCTGCAAACATTTACTGATAACTTCAGCGTTCAGAGGCGGTGCGTCGTCTTGCTGGAAAAATATGTTTTCGATTTCCATTAAAAGCATACATATATCATCAATAAGGGGTCCAAAGCCTACTAGTTAAAAGTGGCGAACTTTTAAAAATTCTGTATTACGAAGGGGATTATAACAAAATATCAAGTGTGGTATATTTTTGGAAAGGTAATTTTATTTTTTTTTTCAGTTAATTAAAAATATAGAGGGTGTCCCAAATAAAAAATCACTTTTTCTGTTGATAACTTTTAAATTATTAATTTTAAAAAAATTATACTTAAAGCATTAAATTCTACGTAAAAGGGTGATTTGGAAATGTTTTCTTAGAAATACAAAATTTTCCATAGCAAAAAAGTTACAGCGATTTGTTAAAAATGCACATTTTTGAAAAACACCCCGTAACTTCGAAACGGTAATAGATATTGATGTGCGGTTTTCACCATCATGTTTTTGATGAAAATTTAGCTCCAGACACCGATATTAGTTTTCGCCTATCTCCTATAGAAAAGGGTGTTTCCATTTAAAAGCGTCGAATTTAACCCACCCTGTACAGGGTGTGTCAGGTCCAGGTATACCAAAGTTCTATTTTTTCTTATGGAACACCCGGTATTTTATTTCATTTTTGGATCCTTCGGCATAAAATAAGGCTTTATTATAAAGGTTAAACATGTTTACAAGCTTTAGTTTTTGAGATATTTAAAGATGATTAAATATGTCATGCTATAATTTAAAAGATTGTCAACACCTTGTACGTTACTTTACAGAACTAATTCTTAAGCTGACTTTTAAGCCAAAGAAATAGACTTCACTAGGAAATTTGATTGCTTCCTTAAATGTATACAGAGGTATGAAAAATTGCTGGTTTATTTTAAATATTTATTTTACATAAAAACTGTTATTTCAAATGCAACACTCTGTATTTTTTAATATAGTACGTCGAAGCAGATATAAATGCTCTTTAAAACTTTATTAGGTAACCATTTAGTTTCCCAAGAATACTTTTTTTACGTATATATTGCAGGTTATCGTAAAAGATTTCCCAAAGTTATACAATAATTAGTTTCTCAGATACAACCGGCGTCGATTCTTAGGTGGCCACCCGGTACAAATTTTCAGCTTTTTATCTTTTTGTAGGTATACCGGGTGCATTTATACGTTCCGTACATGTATACGGCACCTAGCACAATCCCATTGGTCAGATTTGAATTTTAAACCAATTAAACTCCGAGTGCCATACGCGAGTATGGAATGTAAGACAGTGCCATGTACACTTACGGCTTTTTATTTACTTACTTTAAATGGCACCCTCAGATTTTTTTTTACTTTATTCGATAGCAAATGACACTCTGAATAGAATGACATATCATATGTCAACTTTTGACATTTTCGCTTTATAAAAAATTGTATTTTAAATTTCAATCAGTCAAGGAGCCTTGGAAAAATAGTTTTGGTCGTCTAATGTTTTCCGTGTCTTTTCCTGGCCGGTTAAAAGATGACCAAATCGTATTTTTAATCATATCTCAATTTTTCCAAATGGAACAAGGGTGGCTCATTAGCATATTTGGAAAAAGCATTTTTTTATGAATAATTTAGTACCACACACTTGGTATTTCGAGTCAAGTTATCTTTTATACCCTCATCGAGTTTTCTATCGTTAGTTATTTTTAATCCAAGATATTTATATTTGTCACAGTTTTTTATCACGCTTCCGTCCTCTAAGACTATGTTCTCTTGTAGCCCCCCTCCAGTCATACATTCAGTTTTTGTGATATTTACCATTCAAGGTCTTCGTGGTCTTGAGCTAGGACTATCTGGTCGTCCGCAAAAAATAGGGTATGTAGGGTGTCCTCATTTATTAGGGAGTTTTCCATTTCTCTACACTTAAGCTACCATTTTTTTAGTGCTTGTTGCAGGTATATTTTGAATAGTATAGGAGATAGGCAACATCCTTGCTTGAGGCCTTTTGTAATTTTTGTTTTCTGACAATGAGTCTCGTATTTTTCTTCTAGCTGTGATGTTCTGGTATAAGTTCTTAACTGCTTTAAGTAGGTTGACATTTATATTAGTTATTTCCAACGTTTCCCACAGTTTATTTAATGGTATGCTGTCATAAGCCTTTTGAAGGTCTATATATAGTAAGTGTACCTCTTGATCTTTGGCCGTTTTTTTTCTCTAAGACCTGTGGTAACAGATGGTAAACAGATGATCTATAGTAGATCTTCCCGCTCTAAAACCCGCCTGTTCTTCTATTTCTATCTATTTATATTCATTTTCTATTTTATTCTTTAGTATCTTTCCATATAATTCTACTTAATGTACTTGTCACTGCCATAATTTCTAATACATGAGCAAAATAAATGGAAGTTATGTCATCATACAACTTAGGAAATTACAAATAAAAACACATTTCCAACTTTTTTCATGATTCTTTACATTTTTTGCCTTCTATAGTAGGTAGTTGTAGTAGTTGCAGAATATTACAGACATCCGATAGCCTTAAAGATCGCCGGATGTCTAGTTCCTCTGAGAAGATGCCTATACCTGTGCCTCCTGAAGTTGCGGAAGCATCTGTGTAGACTGCTACCTCTTGAGTGTTCATTACTCGGTTGCTTTCCCATTCTTCTCTTGTCAGGATGCGAATCCTTATCTTTTCTCCAAAATCATGTTTGGTGAGCATATAATCCGTTTTCTGGTCTAGCAGATGTAGACTAGTGATCGCCATGATTTTCCCTTTCACCGGCAATATCCTCAAGTGACCGTAGTTTGTCTGGTTCCATAGATTGGATTCCCTTAATCTTAGGACACTCTTAGCGAAAGATATCGACTATATGCTCAGAAAATTGAAAGGGCAGTACTCAGAACGGGGATTGAAAATGAACATGACAAAAACAGAACATCTAAAAATGCCAGACGATGGACAAGTAGACTAGTGATTCCCACGAGAATCTCGTTTTCGAGAGTCTCGTATGGTCTCGTCTCGTTTTCGAGACGAGACTCGAGACGATACTCGGACAATACGAGACGAGACTTTTATTGGTCTCGTCTCGAGTCTCGTGCGAGACTTCTCGTGTCTCGTACGAGAGTCTCGCAGGTGAACACTTGAAAACCCTTTACTTAAAAACCAACTTTTACTTAAGTTCCGAAGTGGGTGTGAAGCAGCTGGTAATTCTCGGCAACTGACACCTATGTTGGATGTACCTACACGCTGGAATTTCAGTGATGATATGTTGCAAGTAGCTCTTAAAAGCAGACATGGACTCGGTGTATTATGTTAAAATGTTGTTGATTTAAAACCATATGGTCTTAGAGATGAAGAACGGATACTGCTAGAAGTGCACAAATTATTAATCAACTTTCAAATACTTTCCAAAAAACTCGGAGGAGGGAAGTACGTCACCTTACCTATGGTGGTTGTATGCATAAAATAATAAATACAAGAAGAAGTGTCAAGTCAATGTTAAATTATGGAAACAGCGTGGCTGCCTGGGTAACTAATTTTCAGATATGGCGGCTGGGACATTTGACATGACATAGACATGACAATTTCAATTTTATGAAATTTATTTCCGTTTCCGGTTTTTAATGGCGGGCTGTTCAGGAGGTTTAAATGAGGGTTAATATACTTTTTACTCTTTCTAGTAGTAAATAATACAACAAAATTACTCAAAAATATTTATTTGGAATTTAGAACAATGTAAATATGCAAATCAACACAATTAAAGAGCTATAAACCAATAAACTACTGTATCAATATCAAATATTTAAATAATAGAGATGCTGTGTTAAAGTGAATTAGTAAAGTAACAGTGCATTGACTTACAGAAACTTGAAGATAAATAAATGTTTTCACAGCTTCACGGGCATAAAACTAAATAACTGGAAGCAGGAAAAAGGCAACCGGAACCCACACAAAACCTGGAATCAAAAAAAATATGTAAAAAACATAAATATAAGTACATAAGACTTTTGTGAATTAAATCAAACAGGACTTGAATGAAAATAAAATGAATAAAAAATATGATACATATACATCTAATACCTCATTTATATTTTAAAAATAATCTACATACATAGATTTATAGCATTATTGCTATGAAAATACATAATAGGTACCTATGTGATATGTAATTACGCATTTCTGTTCATCTTGCAGAAAATTAATGTAGGCTAATAATAGTTCAATAATCATAATTTACCTTGTATAACTTGCTTTCAATTGCTCAAAATCACCGATCAGTCTTTAAAGTAGAGATACGGAAAAATCCTTGCCAAAGAATATCTCAAGATCCTTGGGTTTAAAGCTAAAAAAATATAAAAACAGTTAATATATTACCTATTTTTATATATATATAATATGGCCCATACCTACTACACGCAGAAACGTCGATTTCATCATTTTCTTCATGTAATTAATATCATATATACTTTATTAAAGTGTTAACAAGGAACTTTATATCAAAAAACATCTTTGTACTTATAAAATTCAGCCGAAATATCAGAAACAAACTTCCAATCAAATCTAAACGGCAAAATTTAAAATGGCGCCCGACCTTGCCAGAGGCCTCGGGAGCTGACGCTGACACACAGACAAAAGACAAAAGACAAAAGAACAGGACGCCGACGTGCATAAAAATGTTCCGTAGCAGAAATTGACAGAAATCATATAGAAATATTCAGATTTTTGTCTTGGACAGTCCAGAAGGCCATGCTTTCTGCCTGGGTAGAACCGCGCCACAACTGTTTCCAATTTTCCGGTTTACTGTCACCCCCGTGGTTGTATGTATCAATTTTTACTATAATAATAATAATAATCTATAATAATAATATCTTATAATAGATAATCTTGAGGGCAAAATATTTGTATGGGACAGAAAAACAAATCGAACCCCTGTCGAAGAGCAGCTTATTGTTAGTTTTCAGGCTGCGAGAGACAAAATACTAAAGCATTATCGTAAAACGAACTGGATTTATGCTGCAGTTTTAATTCTCGATCCACGTCATAAGTTAGAAACGTTTGATATGACAAAATGGGGCCAAGAATTAAAAGATAATTCGATTCAGAAATTTCAAGATATTTGTAAAGTCCATTTTCATCAATTAGAGGGACAACGTTCGACAGAAACAGCGGTGGCGCAACAAGGACGAGAAAATCCTGGACCTGAAAATTCGGACTTTGTAATTGATTTTGATGCCTTGTACGTAGTAAATCCTACCCCTGCCGAAGGAGAATGGATGCAGGATCTTCAAAAATACTATTCAATTCCCCGGTGTAATAAAGACACAGATATATTACAATGGTGGAGAACTCATGGATCTGAACTTCCCATTTTAAGTTTGATGGCACGAGATCTCTTGAGTATACCAGCTACCTCAGTCCCGGCGGAAAGGTTATTCTCTCGTGCTAAGTTAACCATTAGAAAACACAGAAATCGCCTTAATAATGAATCTGCACGGTGTTTGTTATGCCTAAATGATTGGGTGAAAAACAAAAACATTTGCGACCGAGAAGGCTGTTAGTACCTATATTATTGTTTTTACTTGTTTTCAAAATGAATGTTAAGTTTTTGGTTTTTCTTTTGTGTTCACGTATTATTAGCTTATTAGCAGAACTTGGCAGAACAACTTGGCAAACATATAATCTTCTTAAAATGACATTAAATCGTGTCCCTTTAACTCGGAGTTTTTGTCTAATTTATTTGCTTTGTCTTGACTGTCTCCTGTTTATACTCTGTACTATGTGCCAATAGTATAAAAATGTTCAGCTATCTATGTGAAATATATTTTTTCCATTCTGACTTTTTGATTCTTCAGACGTGTTCGGTCATTCGGACCGGTCAGGACGGACCAGTCCGCTTATGAATACCGAATTATTGATAAGCGAGATAACCCTCATTTGCAACGAAAGTGAAACAGAAAATATGTGTAACCGAATTTTTAACAGGTAGATCAGAGTCTCTAGAAGAGTGCCTCAGATGCTTATGGTGCCTCAATGAGTTAAGTTTTACCTTAAGAGTGCCTCAAATGCCTCAGATGCTTATGGCTGCATGTTCATTTGGTAGCAGTAAATGTCAGTTTATATTAAAATGAAGTAACTTTACGGTTTACAGGCATGTATTTTGACAAAAATATAATGTAATGTAAAATGTAAATAAAACATAAACTTTTAAACGTTTCCTTAACACTCTTACCAAAATAATTTAGTCAAGCATATCCAGTGTTGTATTAGAGAGAACGTTCCCATTCGTGACGAGGGAACGTTTGTAAACTATGGATCATTGTGTGGGAAGTAGTGATGCGTCGGTATTTGAGTAACTCGATTTTGGAGTGGTATTTTTTGTAACTTCTAACTTTCCCACCAATAAGGAATATACGTAGATAAAAACATACACCTAGATAAAGAAATTTAGCATATGACGTAGGTATCTCGAATATTGATTCAAATTATGTTACTTTTTATTGTTTAAGCTAAACTATTTCTAAAGTAAACAGATTTTAAGAAAAAAGATAGAAAATATAATTATCTTACAAATGTATGTATTTTAATTTAAATTCTACGATTATAACGTGTATCAGAAGAATATAAATCTAAATATTATTGGTAAAAATATAAAACTTATAAAAAGTTATTCTTCAGTCTGAAGAAAAGATGGCGAATAAAAAGTATTGAATACCAATAAATTATATTATTTTATATTTTTTATTTAATAGTTTTATTTTCAAAAAATAAATATAAACATTTGGTAAAGTGATCTTATTCGCTTTTCATAATACCCATTATTTTCTTATGAGTCCGAGCGTTCCCAGCGCGTTGAATCAATATACATCAATATGCATCAATATGCAACCAACTATGCAGTCACACGACCGCGGCCGATCGAAGACCGAACGTGGGGAATCGGGATCAGTGTTACCAGATTGGGCGATTTATCACAAATTGGGCGATTTTTCGATTGCTCTGGCGACCTGAATTTTTAGGAAAATCGCAAGTCGCCATTTGGGCGATTTTGGCTAAGATACTTATGGCACCAGTCAATCAATGCATTGCCAATATTGACTTAATTCTTGTAATTATTATAGACATCGATTTCCGAAACGGCGAGAATCGCAATTACATATTCTTAGATGAATATTCGAAGATATCGATTTATATTGCTCATCTATCAACTGGCGTTTGTGACTTCAGTTTAGTTCTCAGTAAGGTTCGCAGTATGTCCTCAGCACGTTTCTCTCTCCAGTCTGCCATTTTTCCCCTTTGTGACGTCATCAAACCACTTAAAATATTAGTCATATTTTGAATTGTGATAGGTATAATCCTTGTATAATGAAATAGTCGCTTGAGATTTTTGTAGGTTTATTATAAAGGCCGGCGGCCACTGCGAGCGTAACTAAACTAAGCTAAGAATATGAAAACAAACGGTAATTAAATGGGAACTCCACTGGGAACGATTTTCGCTCAGTAGTCAGCTAAGTTTTCGTATTGTATCTCTGCTATTATAGAACTAATCGCTGCGAAAAATTCGCTGGAACCTGTCACGAACTAAAACGAGCGAAACTAAACTACGATTCGAATCTTCGTTCATATATTTTCGTTTTGTTTCCGTCAAGTAGCCGCTGACGCATTAAAAAGTATGGAAGCTGATTTTTACAAATCTTATCTTCGCTTAGTTTAGTTTCGCTTGCAGTGGCCGCCTACCTTAAAAATATTTGGCGACTTTTATTTTATTTTGGCGACTTTCGCCACCCCTAGTGGCGACCAGCTAAACTAATATCTGGCAACACTGATCGGGATACGCTACTATTATGCAGCTTACGGGGCTTAGCGTAGTTTTGCATTAAAATCAGCTGGCTCCCCGCGTGTCTGAATAATTGGGTCGCAAAATAGTCAAAATCCGGACATTTTTCGGTATTTTTTACTTTTGTAGTCACTAGTATAACGTTTAGTATTCGTATTTTTAAATTGAACATAAAATAACAGTGTTTTGTGAGTGCTTTGTCGGCTTTCGTGTCGAAAAAAGAGGCTGAAATAGAAAAGGCCAAAGGACAGCGTGTAAGCTGCGGTTTTCCAGATTATGTCGTCTTCCGCGCTTGACAATAATTCAAATGTTGCCGGTCCATCGGGATTGGTTTCGGTTTCTCCGGGTGCGTGTGACTGTATTGTATGTATTTTAGTAAATCGAGGATTCCACAGTTACAGTTTTGAAGAAAAACGTCAGATTATTTTAAAAGGTAGGCCAACTCCAGTTTTGAAAAACTTAACAAAACAAACTAAACTCTATTTAAGACATTTTCAAAAGGAAAATTATAATAAGTGTGAGTGGCTGACTGGTTGTGAAAAAAAATCTGTGTTATTCTACTGGCCGTGTATTTTATTTTCAAGAGAAAAAAACTTGTGGAATAAGAATGGTTTTTCTGATTTAAACAATTTACACAAGTTAATTAAAAGGCATCACAGTAGCAAATCGCATATACAGGCTACCGTAAGAGAAAAAACTTCTGGAAAAACAAGAATTGAGCATATGTTAGACAATCAACAAAAATTAGCGGTACAGGCACATAACGAAGAAGTAAAAAAAATCGGGAGCTACTGAAAAGAATGATAGATGTAGTTTGTTTTCTTGGAGATGAGCAAAACATGAGCTATCTTTTCGGGGTCATTGTGAATCTGGGAGCTCAACAAATAGAGGAAATTATGTGGATATGATTAGTTTTTTATCAAAATACGACCCAGTTTTGAAACTTCATTTTGAAAATTCGACAAGGTTTAAAGGAACATCTAACTTAATTCAGAATGGCCTTATTTTAAGTGTGGGAGAAGTTATGCTAAAGACAATTAAAAAAGAAATAAGTGAAGCATCATTTGTGGCTTTTATTTTGGATGAGACTACTGATATATCTAATACTAGTCAACTATCGAAAAGCGTCCGCTATGTGACAAAACAAGGTTAAATAAAAGAAAGATTTCTTGGTTTTGTTGATGTCTCAATGCAAAGAACCGCTTTGGCTCTCAATGAGATTGTTTTTTCAACTATTGAAGATCTTGATTGCGGTTTAAAATTAGTAGGGCAAAGCTACGATGGAGCAGCAGTTATGGCAGGCCAATTAGGGGGTCTACAGGCCAAACTTAAGGAAACTTACCCATCAGCCCTTTTTGTACATTGTATGGCACATAGATTAAATTTGGTGGTGCAACAATCTCTCAATAAAATAAGACAATGCAAAATATTTTTTCAAACCTTAAGCGGCCTCGCAGCATTTTTTTCCAAATCTTCGAAACGATCGACGGCATTGGACCAAGAAGTTCATAAAAGGTTACCAAGAGTAGCTCCTACTCGTTGGAGTTACAACGGCAGACTGGTAGAGACCGTTTTTGAATATCGACTACCCCTTATTGACTTTTTCAAAAATAATGGACAACAGGCAAGATTGGGATAATGAAACAGTGGTGTGCTCTACCGGTTATTTAAATATGTTACAACGAGAAAGTGATTTTAATTTTCTGTTACTTGTTTTTTCTCAAATATTTCCATTCTGCGATAATCTCTTTAGCGTTCTACAAAGTAAAATGAGTGATATAAATTTTTGTATAAGAAAAATTCAGGAATTTAGGAGAATAGTTTCATCAAAAAGGGATCAATTTGATGAATTTTGGCAAAAATTCGAATATTTGGACATTTTATCTACAGAGCCGGAAAGAAAAAGAACACGGACGGAAGATACTGTGAACGATAAGAAAATGGATCCAAAAACCCAAGCTCGTAAACTGTTCTACGAAATCATTGACAATATTTTGGGCCATATAGACGACAGATTTAACAATTTTAAGAGCCTAAAATTTCTAGAACTCGTCAATTTCGAAGAAAATAATGCACTTTCAGAAGAAGCCTTTAATTCTTTACAACAAAATTATCCGAACTTTTTTGACTTTCCCGCGTTGCGTTCCGAACTGTTTGTTTTATACAATACTTCAGAGGGTTTAAATAAACATAGTGTTAGTGAGTTATTAAAATCTATTAAAGAATGTGGACTACATCGTGCGTGTCCGGAAACCGTTAAGCTTTGTGAACTGTCACTTACCATACCCGCGACAAGTACATCAGCAGAACGTAGTTTTTCTACACTCAAGAGGATTAAAACTTTTATTAGAAACTCTACAGGACAAGAAAGACTGTCTGCTTTAGCAATGCTTTCCATTGAGCAAGAACTACTTCAGGAACTTTCTGAGGAACCAAATTTTTACAACAACGTTATAGATGAATTTGCAAAGCAAAACCGAAGATTGGAGTTGCGTTTCAAATAAGGTTAGTCTCAGTAGAGTAAATCATAAATTTTGATATTTTTAAAGTTTTTATTGTGTTTAAATATTATAAATTTATACGGAACAATATTATTTTCATTATTAATCTGTTAGGTAAAAAAAAATATTAAAAAAAACTTGGAACTTGATATAACACTTGACCCCCCCCCTGCTCGTCCGCTCCCAAACAGCTTCCCTATTTCTCAAGGGCTGGACACGCCACTGGGCTATACCAGGTAAATTCGAATTTAAGTAGCTTATTTTGTAATTTAAAATTTATACTTTGTTTTTAGATAATGTAAAATTTATCAAAAATCTTACATTTTAATCATATGTTTCTCAATTTTTTTTTCTAGAATCCGTAAGTCAATTAATATACAGGTAGTTCCGTTACAAAAAACACACCTTTAATGTGTAACTTTTTTAGGAAACCCTTAGAACTGTATATAATTTTAAAAAATGCTTTAAATTAACCTACATATTATGCTTCCAAGATTTTATGTCAATAAGCACTGTCGTTCTTCTGAGCCTCTGCGTCGTATTATATTCGCCACCCTAAAAAACCTCATTAGATTCGCCACCCTAAAAAACCTCATAATCGTGTTTCTGGGATCAAAATATACTACCCCTAAAAATATTTGCGCTTATTTAAGACTCATCCTGTATATCCTTGTTTGTGCTTCTATATACTCTTTTAAGGAAACATGCCCGCACAATGATCCTGAATGTTCGCGAACGTTCGCCTTTGTTACGAATGAAAACGTTCTTTCTATAAACAACACTAACTGAACATACCGATCTGGTCATCTAAACTGCGTGGTCTGGATTTTAACGTGTAATGGTGCGTCCAGACCTGAGGAGTCGAGTGCGAGACGAGAGCAAGACAAGAGCGAGACAAGAGCGAGGCAAGAGCAAGACGAGTGCGAGACGTGAGCAAGACATTTTCTATCCATTTTTTGACGCAAACCTGCCACGAGACAAGCGAGTTGGATCGTAGTGAAAGGTGACCGGTTTGTGTAAACATGTCCGATGAAAAACCTGCAGCAAATAATAACGCATAAGTAATAAATTTTTGTATCTTTAACATGATATTTGGTTCATTCTATTTTATTCATCGTCGATTTTTTCCCCTTTTATCCTTCATTTGTTTCGAGACACGACGTCTTCTACAAAATCCGTTTTTTAGAACAAAATATTAATGGAAAAGTTATAGAAAAGGTTAGGAAGCACATTTGAAAATTACTGTAGAGTACACAGGGTACTTCAAAAAGTGTTACGGATATACCGGGTGCGTCTCAAAAGTGGCTCACGCCTATAACTTTTTTATTTTTTCAGATAAAAAACGAGATTTGGTATGCTAGTATATGACTTAAATTAGGATTGATTGACATATTCAATTGTTTTCGGCCACTTCCGGTTTCACCGGAAATAACTACAACATGTGATTTTTAAATGGTATTTTCCTCGATATTTTCTTACTTTATTCGAGAAAAAATAACACTCTGACTCTCTCACACGCGGTATGTTTTAATGAGAATACCCTATTTTTTATTTTATTATTAGATTCTACGTGCAATTCGGTAACTTATTTGCATATCATATTATATACATATCTAAAATAATCGATTTTGTAATAATTCAATTTGTTTAAAGAAATATTAGATTTCGGTACGGTAAAAAGTGTCAGTGACGCAAAATTTGTAAATTCTATTAATAGAATTTACAAATTCTATTTTAAATAGTCGAAATTCATAAATATATGTTGAACACACTGTAGCATCTAACTCAAATATCTTTACCTATATCTCTTTCTTCATCCCTATAAAACTATCAAATTAAACTAACTTAAATAAAACTATCAAATTAAACTAACTAACAAATTTTAGCACTCCAACTGCAGAAACAATAGCATTCATGACAATTTTTTACGACTCTGAAATCTAACATTTTTTGTTTAAGCAAATTGAAATATTACAAAAACTATTAGTTTTAGGTATATAACATTATACCTCGCATTATACATAAAAAAGGTTATAAAATTTTACGCAGAATCTAAAAGTATAAAAAAAATAATGTATTACATTTAGAAAACCATGTTATATCCGTAACACTATTTTGAACCACCCTGTATACTAATTTTAAAATGTGTATCTTAACCTTCTCTACAGTTTTTCTATGTTTTTAATAATTCTAAAATACGTTTTAATAATTCTCAAAACAAATAAAATAATGAACTTTATCGTTGGCTCACTCTGTATATTTACTAGGTAACAAGATTCAATAATAATTAATCTTCCTATAATAATCTCCTTCCTGTATGTTGCCAGTAGAGAAATATTTTTTTATATTTTTCCCAAGTTTTATTCACATATCTACTCACGCATCGTGTTTTTTTTTAATATTCTTTATCTTTTGGATTGCATAATATTGGTTTTTCTTTATATAAATCGATTAATTTCAGCTGATCTTCTTCCTGAAAGTCTCCATTTCAATATGCACTATAATATCAGAGCTAATATCTCGCAGTCGAGCGAGCCTACCAAAAACACATCCAGACTTGGCTGCGAGCTTTCTTTGATCTCGACCGTTGAAAAAACGACAGGGAACGGATAGCAACGAGGCTCGGTGGGTTGTCTCGCGAGCCGCTCGCGAGGCTCTTACGAGACCCGTCCACACTTAGCGAATTTGGAATGTCTCGCGCTCGTCTCGCACTCGACTCCTCAGGTCTGGACGCACCATAACAACACTAACTGAACATACCGATCTGGTCATGTAAACTGCGTGGTCTGGATTTTAACGTGTAAGACAGCGATGTAGACAGCTTAATGGAAAATCAAATGTATTAAAAAGAGATAAAAGTTGGGTTGATACATTTCTTCTATGTGGTATTGCCGGATTTTGCATCATATTTTCAAACCTCACCAGTAGGCGTTTAGGAAAAATGTTGCATCTACGGTTGGAACTTTATTTTTCACAAATAGTTACTCATTTCACTACAGCTGTAATACATTATATTTAGTTTAGATATATTATCTTCATTTTGGTAGTATCCATTGAAAGTTTTTAAAATTGTTTTTTTTTCTACACACATTTTCCTACATACGTAAAAGCCGGCAACACTGTATGCCGCTTTTTATTTTGTTTCTTTGCCAACCAGTCATTTATATTTATGTCTGTCGGATGCATTAAAATACAGACCACGCAGATGAAGTGACCAGGATGGCACCTGTACATATAATTTTAAAATAATTTACTAAAACATTAATATAAGGATCTTTAACAGGTGCGGTTCATTATCAGTCTGGACACTCTGCAACTTTATTTGGTGGTAAAACAGGTAATTTTTGTATAGCTATAGACAGATATAATAAATTGCGTGGTACTTTTTATCAGAAAATAATGTTTAAAGAAACCGTAAGAAATATGTTATTTGTTCGAAAACCTTTTTAAGCATAATGCTTGATAGCAATAATGCACATTTCTATGCAATATTCAGAATCTCTACAAATAATTGTTAATGAACTTTAGAAATTTAACGTCGTATGATCGAAAAAAAAACGGCGTCCAGTTGGCTTGGAAATGGCGATCGATGACATTTTCCATATAATTTTCCAAATAAAATGACAGGGGCCTTCATATCATAGCCACGGGTGACGCCGTTTTTTTTGTTCATATTTTGTAGAATATTTATATAGGTTTTTTAAACAGGTTCGTTTGGTTCATTTATGAAATCACTTGGGGGTTTTCGGTCAGCACCATCTTCAAGTTCATCTGCTAGTAATACAGGTAATTTTTAAAAAGTTATACAGGGTGCTACAAATTCGGGGTACGAGCATTGGTATCTCGGAATCCCGTAATAGATACGAAGATGGTTAAACTGGGGCAAAGTTGCTCCTTGGCTGTTCACCAAGATGCCATCAAAAAAGTTTTAAAAATTACAAGGATTGCTGAGTTTTTTGGAAAAAAACCGAATTTTTTTGACAATCAATTTTATTTTTTCATGTCGTTACTTTTTAGAAAATTAAAAAATCAGTTGCACATTCTCATAGCCACTTTATTAGGGCTGTCTGATAGTATTTTTAGATTTTCAAATTAGCTCATAATTTGTGTGAGATACAGATGCCAACTTATTTTTTTTTAAATACTGTAAAATCGCTTATTTCTGGGGCTTACTCAACCGGGTCTCAGAATGCAAATTCACCTCAAATATCCATTTAGTTGGTCATTGGCAAGCACTCTCTCATTGTACATGAAAATAGCAAAACAAACATTTACTGATCTGGATAAAATTAATAGTTAAATAGTAAGACTCACCCGGGGGTACTCCGCCCCCTAGCCACTGATATATTCTATTCAATATATCCCATTCCATATTTTCCATCTAATTCAAATATCATTCGGATCTATTGGTTAATAATCTTCAACAACTAGCTAGTGTCACCTGAAATAGTATAGGGGGCTTCCCCGGACGCAACTCTGCCGCTAAACAGATTCGCATCCCAATCGAATAAGCTAATTGGGGTACCTCACTAGTCTCTCTACCCCAACGCCGCATCGTGTCAATCGAGAAGACAAGGGAGACCTCAAACTCTCAAGACCAACCTCGAAGGCAAGACGTCACCAGAGGTTTTCTTCCGGTCAAACGACCCGTTGCCTTACAGTACTTGCAACGTTTATAGTCAAAAGACTCTCAACCCCCAAATATCAGCTCTATAACAAAACACAACACAACAGCCGGCTGGCCAGTCTACTACTGAACCGCCGTAGGCAAGCTAAGCCTCCTCTTACATCACAATTTTACCGGATCGTAAATGTTTACATTACTTGCCAATGAATCATACTATTTTCTCTAATCGACTTTGAAATAGAGTGTTTTAGCATTACTAGATAAATAAATAGAGAGTTTCCGAATTATAAAACCATTATTATAACCAACTTATTTTCCAAGTTTTACAATACGGACCTGCATTTTTATTTCACGTTTTGTAAGAACTCTGTCTCCTGAGTACAATTATATGCTACACTTAATTTTTTTTTTTGTTTCAGACATTTAAACACAATTTATTTAAACTAATTTCAAGCCCTGCTCTGTTTTTTTTTAATATTTAATCTCTTTACCGTTAGAATATTGATATAAGCTTTCAGACTTAACAAAGACGTGGTGTAAAACATTGAATACGGAAAATCAAATGCAATAAAATAATAAAAATAATATAAAAATAATATAAATAAAATAATATTATGGAAATATTCCGGCGACACGTCATGGTCCAACCGATAGAATCGTAAAAAAATATTAAGAAGAAACGGAAGTATTATGAATACAGACCACAAGAATTAGAGGAAAACGAACATCATAAAGTATACTGGAATACGCAAATACAGACAGACAGATCAGTAGTTCATAATAAGTCGGACATTGTTTGGATAGATAAAAACGAAAAGAAAGCCTACTTAATCGACGTAGCTGTACCAATGGATCACAACGTAGTCAAAACTGCAAGGGAAAAAAATTCGTAAAAGTATCAAGACTTGGCTCTCGATATGAGGCAAACGTATCATCTAAAAGCAACCCGAGTAATACCACTCATCATTTCATCTCAAGAACTTAAAGGAGCTGAAGCTACAAGAAAATATCATAAGCAGCTATTTTGGGTACGGTGAACATAGTCCGCAGAGTAATGAACATTGAGCCTGACAGCGTGACAAAAAAATATAAATGCTCGTATAATAAAATATAAACGATTAAATCATTTCCTCGGAAGTAAGATTGGAAATGGTAGAGTAGTATAATGGCCAACGAGGTTCCTGGACCTGTCGCAAAGGGGCGTGGGGACACTACTTGACGTCATTTGTAAAAATGGAATCAATATGTCTCAACATTAACAATAAAAAGTTCAAATGCATTCGGAAGTATAAGAAAAAAAGTTCAAACAGCTATAAATAAAATTGAACGAAAAATAAATTTGTGCAATTGGGAGGGTGGTAACCCTTTGGAACATGTAGAGCATTAGAAACTAGCTTATAGAAGTTGATTTATTTATAATAACTACGATTAATATTATGCATATCATTAGATTACCACACTGAGATTTCAAATTCAATAAAAAAAGTTATAAATAATATCTTTAAATTGCTGACCTGGAAATTATTTATTTGAATCTTCCAATTGGCTCCATTTTCCTTATTCAATGTTAATTAGCGCTGATCAATATTGTTGCGATGAATATAATCAGTTTAAATAATTTAAAAAAAACCAGAGTCGGACAGTAGTATCCATGAAAGTTTTTAAAATTGTTTTTTTTTCTATACACATTTTCCTACACACGTAAAATCCGACAACACTGTATGCCGCTTTTTATTTTGTTTCTTTGTCTGTCAGCCAGTCATTTTTATTTATGTACATGGGGGCCGTACCGCCGGCACACGAACGCATTAAACAAGTTGCAACAGAGACACCTTAGACAACTGTTAAGAATCAAATGGTATCATCATGTCTCAAACGTATCAGTCCTTGAAAAAGCAAGGTGCGAGAGTTCTGAAGTCATGATTACTATATCCCGCTTAAGATGAGCTGATCACGTATGCAGGATGCAAGAAAACCGCCTACCGAAATCTCTTCTTTACGGTGAGCTTATAAACGGTAAAAGGAAACCGGGTAGACAACTCAAAAGATACAAGGATATTTTGCATGAAAACTTAAAGGGGATAAGTATGCAGCAAGCAGCGCACAATAGAACGCAATGGAGGAGAATTGTAAGCTCAGTTAACAACAACAACCAAAAAGTAAAGAGGCGACAAAACAATGATATTTTTGAATGTCCGTAGTGCGGTAGACAGATAACATCACGTATCAGGCTTTTCAGTCACAGAAAAGCTCATGAAAGAAAACGCCATATTCTTCTGATGCGTGTCGAATTCTCGTCAGCGAGTAATAGCAGTAGTAGTAGTATATTTATGTCTGTCGCATGCATTAAAATACTAAAACATTAATATAAGGATCTTTAATAGGTGCGGTTCATCATGACTCTGCAACTTTATTTGGTGGTAAAAAAGGTAATTTTTGTTTAGCTATAGACATATGTAATAAATTGCGCGGTACTTTTTATCAGAAAATAATGTTTAAAGAAACCGTAAAAAATATGTTAGTATGGATTTGTTCGAAAACATTTTTAAGCATAATGCTTGATAGCAATAATGCCACATTTCTATGCATTACTCAGAATCTGTACAAATAATTATTATTGTTAATGAACTTTAGAAATTTAATACCGCATGATCGAAAAAAAAATGGCGTCCAGTTGGCTTGGAAGTGGCGATCAATGACATTTTCCATATAATTTTCCAAATAAAATGACAGGGACCTTCATATCATAGCCATAGGTGACGCCGTTTTTTTTGTTCATATTTTGTAGAATATTTATATAGGTATTTTAAACAGGTTCGTTTGGTTCATTTATGAAATCACTTGGGGGTTTTCGGTCAGCACCATCTTCAAGTTCATCTGATAGCAATACAGGTAATTTTTAAAAAGTTATACAGGGTGCTACAAATTCGCGGTACGAGCATTGGTATCTCGGAAACCGTCATTGATACGAAGACGGTTAAACTGGAGCAATGTTGCTCCTTGGCATGTTCATCAATATGCCATCAAAAAAGTTTTAAAAATTTCAAGGATTGCTGAGTTTTTTGGAAAAAAACGGATTTTTTTCACAATCAATTTTATTTTTTTCTGTCGTTACTTTTTAGGAAATCAAAAAACTAATTGTGCATTCTCATAGCCACTTTATTAGGGCTATCTGGATAATATTTTTAGATTTTCAAATTAGCTGATGATTTGTGAGATAAAGAGGCCAACTTAATTTTTTTAAATACGTGTAATGAAAAATTAATATACAGGCTGTCCTATTAAAACTATTTAAAAAGCTCGTTACGCCACTGGAATTCTACGTGAATAAAGCCGGGACCCCACTAGGCAACACGTCACGCCACGCCACGCCACACCACGTCATGAAGATCTGTGCATATGTTTTTCTATTTAATTACATGTGTTGCTTACACACTAGGGCTCACGCCATCCCACGCTATCACACGTGTGATGGGCGATTCGTCTGTTCCAGATCTCACCGATGCGTGTTATCGCGTTATCGCGACAATTCGCGCACTTATGCGAAGCGCGGCGGAAAACCATGCAACGGACTAATTTTATGTTATACATATAATGTACCGGGTGTCCCACTAAGAATAGCTCTCGGCTGTATCTCGGAAAGTATTAGCTCTAGGGCCTACGGAAAAAAATATTTATAACTAAAGGGGCTATGAGAAATTGCTGGAAATTATTTTCAAGTTTTTCACAACCAAATCAAAAATAAAATAAGAAAATATATTTTTTACAGAATTTTGCCTAGATAATGGGTACTATAAATAAGCTTCCGAATCGTATCACACGTATCGTATCACACGAATCGTATCACACGTATCAGGCTTTTCAGTCACAGAAAAGCTCATGAAAGAAAACGCCATATTCTTCTGATGCGTGTCGAATTCTCGTCAGCGAGTAATAGCAGTAGTAGTAGTATATTTATGTCTGTCGCATGCATTAAAATACTAAAACATTAATATAAGGATCTTTAATAGGTGCGGTTCATCATGACTCTGCATGTGATATGCTTGTCTACGTGTGATACGCTTCCGAATAAATAAGCTTCCGAATAGCTACCGAATAGCTTCATAATCTTCAGTAAATTTTGGATTTTTTTTTGTTAGAACCAATTTCCCCTATCTGCTAAAATAAAGTGGTGGGGGAAGGTTAGATCTATCTTTATTTAAATGTTAGTAACTCCGGACTGGATGATCAGAATTCAACAAACCAGCGCTCGTTTAAAAGAGCGTTTCTTACTCTATATTATACCATAAAAATAATAATAATAATAAGGTTTTGAACGTAGACGCTAGGGGGCGCTTTCTTACAATTTAACAAACATAGCGCCTTTTTTCAAAAAAATTAAATAGGATAGTATGTGTTATTTTAGCTGATAGTAAAGAGTAGTAAAAACTTAAAAAGTCAGCAGAAACCGCATCTTGATATCTTCTTTCGAACTGAAGATATTAGCAAAATTATAATAAATACCAAAAAATAAGCCCTTAATTACCTTATTTTTACAATACAGTATCAGTAGCCCTCTTGATTAGGCCCATTCTAACAAAAAAATAAGATAGAAACAGTTTATTTAAAAATCGACGAAATACCAGAATACCATAATACCAGATGTATTAATATCGAATAATTAAGATATTAATAATAGTGAACAAGAAACGATGATTCAGTGAAGTCATGGTAGGCTTTGGAAAAAAGTTGCTTTTCGCGTAATAGTATAAACATCAAATTGTTATTAGATCAACATTTTGATAGTCTTAGCAGCGTTTTTTTCCTTTTAAATGCTTTTTCAAAATGCCTCTATTGTTTGAAGTAGTTGAAGTTGTTGAAAAAACGTGCAAAGTTTGTTAAATTGTAAGACAACGCCCCCTAGCGTCTACGTTCAAAAGCTTATTATTATTGTTTATATGGTACAATATATAGTAAGAAATGCTCTTTTAAACAACCTCTCGCTTGTTGGATTCCGATCATCCAGTCCAGAGTTATTAATATTCAAATAAAAACAGATCTAACCTTTCCCCACCACTTTATTTTGGTAGATAGGGGAAACTGGCTCTAACAAAAAATATTCAAAATTTACTGAAGATTGTGAAGCTGTTACTTATAGTACACCTTATCTAGGTAAAATTGTGTAAAAACTCCATTTTCTTATTTTTTGTTGCAATTGCGCCCCCTAGCGGTCGTTCTACAAACTTGAAAATAATTTCCAGCAATTTCCCATAGCCTCTTTAATTATAAACACCCTGGGACACCCTGTACGTCCGCGACTCAAACGAAGCAACGGCTTGCGCCGTAACCACCGTAATAACAAGGCCGGACAGCTTATTCGTGACGTCATCAACTGGAGGCCTAAACTTTGATTGTATTAGATACACTTTATACGTATATAATGGATATAAACTTTAATTGCACTGACTTTTTAATAAATAATAATTAAACATAAAATTTGAAAAACATCAGATTGATATCCCATCTTACATTATCCATCATCATTGTATTTATTTATGCTGTAAGTGTGTCTAAGTTTCTTTTATTTCCTTTTCCAAGTCTATCACTATTTTTTAACAACAGTAGTTTTTCGTGTATTTCTAATAGAATTTATGACAATTTTTACAATAACTTAGCATTATAAATAGAACATACCCAAGTAGCATTTGAACGTTATCTAACGTCGCACAGTGGTTCCAAATGGTGAAAAAGTGCCGCATGTGATTTTATTGACGTAATTTTTTGGTTAAGGGATACATTTTGTAATTGATTTTGTGGAGCACAAAGTTAAGGTTTCAAGGTATTAAAAAACGTCAATATTGTGAAGTCCTTAACATCCGCAAGACCAGGACGACTGTTCTACATCCACGTTGGATTTTAGTTACTTAAAATTCGTCGCTAAGCACTTACGTTACGTTTGGTTTCATATTCGCTACCAAGAATACATAAAAACCTAACCAAACTACCTAATTACAAATGGATTCATAATCACTCCTCGAATATAACTATAAGTGCCTATCTAATTCATATTATAATAATTCTGAATCATTAATCCAGACATCAGTTTTGTCAACGGAAGTCACTTTCTTGATATATCTGACTAAAATACTCCGGAAAACAACGAGCGCCTTCAAAATTAGGTAGATTTATGAAATAAAAATATCTATAAAAAAGTAACTCGCAAAATATTTTTTTTTAATTTTCTAGCTGGTTTAATCATAAAACTGTACTGTGGTTCCCCCCAAACTGAACCTTATCAATATTATTCTACTAGAAATCGAAATGTGAATATAAATTTTAAAAACAAAAAACGATTTTAAAATGGCTGACAATCGGATATGTGTTAAGAATGGCGGATTTCTGTGTCCGACTTAATATGAACTACCAATATACCAATTCCGACCGGGTCTCCAACATTAGTCGTCTCACACGACCGAAGTCATCAAACCGGACGACCGGCAATCATATTATGACTTATATAATTCCAACGTACGCCACGTAACCTCACTTTGCGTATCAGTGATTAGTGGAACTATATTTTAGTTTTTGTTTTCTCCTTAAAAAAATGGGCAGCCACTTTTTTAAGCCTAACCTCACATGTCGGAGGAGGATGGGGTCTGCTAGTTTCCTAAGCTAAAAAATGAAATTAAGATGCACCAGTGTAATGCAGCATCTCTTCCGGATAAAAAGCATTTACGGGTGGAGGCAAGACATCACTACTACTATTATTATTTTGCAAAAGCCTCGACCTCTTTCTGTAAATGTAGATGAATGTCTAAATGCCTTTTTAGTGTTTTTTAGGCATAATAAAAAAATTAAGTTTGTTTACAAAAACTTTTTATTAGGTTATGTTCATGATGTTCATTAGGTCGCAAATGCTACTTAATGGGTTGTATTTACTGACGTAAATAGAGATACGTAAATTAGGTTATAAATATGAACATAAAATACAACAAAATATAATTGGACGTTACTTTAGGGATTATCAGTGAGACGTATCCTATTCGGACAACGGGTAGACGTCGGGCTAGTTCAAGCGTATATTTACGTCGTGCAAGCCAACGTGGAACGACGTTGGGAAATTAATAAAAATGGTACGTTGTTATTTTGTACGTCGACATATCGTTCGATTTACCGACTCGGATCCAACGACGTCGCTTTTAATAGGAAAGCGACGTCACAGGTCGTATCACGAGCACCCGACCTAAATTTGCACAAAGTCTGACGTCGCTTCAGGTCAGATTTAGTTCGAAGTCAGATAGATGCTACTTGGGTAGCGGAAATTTTAATAATGGTGTTATTACTTTTAATGTAATCCAAATATATTTTTAATAAAAATATTTTTTTATTGTGAGTTTTGAGAAACTTCTCATGGCTTTGCAAGACTTTGTTAAAAATTATATATTCAAATAAAACTATATTAGTTATTTCATCTTTTGGAAACCCAAGACTGCCTTTAGTAAGGTTTTTTATAAGTGAATTTTGTTCAATATCAGTGTTGTCTGAAAATGTTAAATTAATTTTAGGGACATTAATGACTGAATCTTAAGTTTCTTCGCCTTCATATAAATGTCGAACACAAATACTGTACTGACTCCCGGCTAACTGTCTATATTTTCCAAACCTACTTTCAAGAGGATCAGTTTGCAAGTTCTCTAGTAAAACCTTCCTCATATTTTACTTATTAAAACAATATTTTATTACTTCAAGCTCAACCTGTTACTCAACTGAAGTTAATAATTTTAATAATCGCCCCGGAGCAGGGGGCGTGAAATATCGATAAAAAACATAATATATACTATAAAAAATATCTATTTTTTATTGTTTTTTTTCTCATATTATACACTATTGTGAACCTAAAATATTCCTTTATTAAATTTGATTGATAAAAAGTGAGAGATAATCATTTATTGACTGGTATGATTTTTTCCGTATTCTATTAAAACTATTTTTATATACTATAATATTTTTAAAAACTCGGAAAAGACACTTTCAAGCTTCGAAATATATCTGGCGAGTGAAAAAAGATCCACAATTTGAACTTTTATCGGGTAATTATCAACTCTGCTAAATAGAGTTGGGCCTCCAGTTGGTGACGTCACGAGATTTTTACGTCACAGCTGTCCGGCCTTGTTATTAGGATGGTTACGCTTGCGCCGGCGGTGAAGCGACTTTCGTTGCAGACCTGGAATCCAAAGCGAAGAAATTCTCTTCGGCGTGCTTCGCGTGTCCTAGTGCGCGGTGGTCAGCGGAAACTTTCTTTGTTTCCGCTCATTTTCGGAATTTATTTTGGGTGTCTTCGGATTAATGATTCTAAGGTTGTCTTTAGTTAAGTACCGGTTTGTTTTGTTTGAATTTGTTTCTTGTAATTTAATTATTGAGATCATGGATGATGAAACATTCATTTTGATTATACAGAGCTACAAAGAATTATATGATGTTGGGGACCCAAATTATCATAACCAATTGAGACGAGACAATATATGTGAAGAAATTAAACGATTATTGCTATTTTTAGATCACAAGTAAAATAAAATATTTTCTACGGATGTACGGACTACTTAATTTAGAATAACGAAAAGATCTACCCATTTAAGAAAACATGCATTACATAAAATAATATACATTATTCTCTATTAATTTTATTTGTAGACTATTAAAAACTTGCCTGAGACAAACTGAAAGTCTTTTGTTAACGCCAATTGGGTAGCGAAATCTAGAATTTTGAAGCTCATTCATTATTAGGGTCATTCTATAATACTTGAAAAAATTTCTTTCGCCTACCAGCTTTCGTCTTCCTCAAATCGGAGTGAAGGTGTATTCTCCATACGCATTTCTTTTTATATTAATGTTATGAATCCAAGATCTTCTCTTTTTGTGCCGCATTTCCTTTTTTTAGTAGCATATTATACATAAAATAAGGAAATTTCCCTCTGAACTGCTGCTGGAACTTGAAGACATAATGAAGTCTTAATACACCTTTATCAAACCGTCACAGAGATAATACTAAAATTGAAAGGGTCAGCTCAAAAGAGAGAATAAAGCTTGATTTTCATGCATCCGTTATCCGACGATACGATGATACGATATTAATTTTATTGGTTGAATTTAAAGGCTTCGATTAAAGCTTTCAAATTCAGCCAATAAAATTAATATCGCATCATCGTATCGTCGGACAACGGATGCATGAAAATCAAGCTTAAGCGTGTGGATTATATACGTGGATTATTTTTATACATTTACTTAGTTGTTTTTTGTTTCAGCAGTCAAAAAAAGATGCATCAAGGGTGCGTCATTCACAAAGATTAAAAATTCAAATGATGGTTCAAATCTGGGTGTGTATGAGCTTCGCCTTGATATTTTTGTAGAGAATAATTATGCGAAATCTAAACTAACTGCAAAAATTAGGAATGACAATAATACACGAAATGGATTTGGTGAATTTCCCATTAGGTTGCCAGATACTGCTTTTATTTCCGCGGCTTTTATGGAAATAAATGGACAACGATGCCAAGGTTACATTCAAGAGGATTCTAAGGCTAAACAAACTTTCGACAAAGTAAGTAATTGTAGATGTAGATTGTATGGGAGAGAAGTTAATAACCGCGACCTTATAGATCTCTTGTGTCCATCTTTCTTGAGTTATGTCATTGTACAGGGTCGTGTCCCACTAAGAATAGCTGTCGGCTGTATCTCGGAAAGTATTAGCCGTAGGGCCTACGGAGAAAAATATTTATAACTAAAGGAGCTTTGAGAAATTGCTGGAAATTATTTTCAAGTTTGTAAAACGGCCGCTAGAGGGCGCAACTGCTATGGAAAATAAGAAAATAGAATTTTTACAGAATTTTACAGAATAGATTCATAATTTTCAGTAAATTTTGGATTTTTTTTGTTGGAACCATTTTCCCCTATCTGCTAAAATAAAGTGGTGGGGGAAGGTTAGATCTCTCTTTATTTAAATGTTAATAACTCCGGACTGGATGATCAGAATCCAACAAACGAGGTTTCGTTTAAAAGAGCGCTTCTTACTCTATATTATACCATAATAATAATAATAACAAGGTTTTGAACGTAGACGCTAGGGGGCGCTTTCTTACAATTTAACAAACATAGCGCGTTTTTTCAAAAAAATTAAATACGATAGTATATGTAATTTTAGCTGATCGTAAAGAGTAGTAAAAGCTTAAAAAGTCAGCTAAAACCGCATCTTGATGTCTTTTTTCAAACCGAAGATATTAGCAAAATTATAATAAATACCAAAAAATAAGCCCGTAATTACATTATTTTTACAACACGGTATTAGTAGCCCTCTTGATTATGCCCATTCTAACAAAAAAATAAGATAGAAATAGTTAGTTTATTTTAAAATTGACGATATACCAGGATACTATAATACCGGATATATTAATATCTAATAATTAAGATATTAGTAACAGTGAAGAAGAAACGATGATTCAGTGAAGTCATGGTAGGCTTTGAAAAAAAGTTGCTTTTGACGTAATAGTATAAGAGTCAAATTGTTATTAGATCAACATTTTGATAGACTTATCTTTTGATATGCTTTTTCAAAATACCAACAACTTCAACTACTTCAAATAATAAAGGCATTTTGAAAAAGCAATTAAAAGATAAAAAACGCTGCTAAGACTCTCAAAATGTTGATCTAATAACAATTTGACGTTTATACTATTACGTCAAAAGCAACTCTTTTCCAAAGCCTACCATGACTTCACTGAGGTTTATTGTTCACTCTTATTAATATCTTAATTATTAGATATTAATGCATCTGGTATTATGGTATCCTGGTATATCATCGATTTTAAAATAAACCAACTGTTTCTATCTTATTTTTTGTTAGAATGGGCATAATCAAGAGGGCAACTGATACCGTGTTGTAAAAATAATGTAATTAAGGGCTTATTTTTTGGTATTTATTATAATTTTGCTAATATCTTCGGTTTGAAAGAAGATATCAAGATGCGGTTTTCGCTGACTTTTTAAGCTTTTACTACTCTTTACTATCAGCTAAAATTACATATAGTGCCGTATTTAATTTTTTTGAAAAAACGCGCTTTATTAAATTGTAAGAAAGCGCCCCCTAGCGTCTACGTTCAAAATATTATTATTATTATTTCTATGGTGTAATATAGAGTAAGAAACGCTCTTTTAAACGAGCCCTCGCTTGTTGGATTCTGATCATCCAGTCCGGAGTTATTAACATTTAAATAAAGACAGATCTAACCTTCCCCCACCACTTTATTTTAGCAGATAGAGGAAAATGGTTCTAACAAAAAAATTCCAAAGCTATTATTTATAGTACCCATTATCTAGGCAAAATTTTATAAAAATTCAATTTTCTTATTTTCCATAGCAGTTGTGCCCTCTAGCGGCCGTTTTACAAACTTGAAAATAATTTTCAGCAATTTCTCATAGCCCCTTTAGTTATAAATATTTTTTTCCGTAGGGCCTACGGCTAATAATTTCCGAGATACAGCCGAGAGCTATTTTTAGTGGGACACCCTGTACAGTCTGAGGGCTTTGACAAAAGCCAGTATCTGAGACGACTTTGCAGAGGTTAGTTCTCCATTGCCGATATCAGTCGTAACAAAGTTTATGGTACGAACGGTTGTCGTCTCGGTACACTCAGTGATGAGGTCTTCTGGTGTTCCCCCATTTTCTCCAAAGAATATGCATTCGCCGTTGTTTCTTAGCGTCAATCTACTGAGGTATTTATTGAGTATCCTGCTAAAAATCCCATGACAATCCGAAGATTGTTCTTACTTAAATCAAGGATTTTTTTAAACTTTTGTGGATAGTAAGTTTTGAGAAATTCCTTCGAGTGTCTTAAACCGTTGGAGAATTCCCATTTCGGGTTACGGATTGAGTCTTCTAGGTTCTTGAGTTCGGCTTTACGTTGATTTCCATATGGGAAGCAGGACGGCTCTGGTCCAGTCAGTGTAGTGTTCACCCATTTTCTCGGTAGACCATTTTGTTAAAATGAGAGATAGACAATTCACGAAATGGATTTGGTGATTTTCCCATTAGGTTACCAGATAATGCTTTTATTTCCGCATCTTTTATGAAAATAAAAGTTTTTTGTACTTGAGTGTCATAATGAATGCATAAATGAATGAAAAAAAGTCAAAATATGATGTATTATGTATTTTTGAGAAACACTGTAAACTACAGGTATATCTATTGTGAATAATTACATGTTGTATTTTTAGATTAGTCACCTTCATGAACCAGCACTAATGATACAATTAAAACATGATAGTTATAACACTTATAAAGTTCAGTTTTATGTTAAACCTAAAGCTGAAGCTGTTATTACTGTTGTATATGAGGAACGATTATCTCGAAACGACAATAAATATGAAATAATAACTACATTATTTCCGGAGGAAGTTAATGGAAATATATATTTTCAGGTAAAGAATTAGATAATAGAGGTGAGCAAAGATTGAGCGAGTCGTTCATTTATACGAGTTTTAAAAATGAATCGTGAGATTCGATTCACCGCTTAGAACACGGTTAGTTCAATTTGAATGATGGATAAAATTTAAACGAACGAGTCGTAGGTATTGAATCGGATCACAATGCGACTCGTTGTTTCTACGGCTCGTGCGTTCAAAAAATCTTGAGAATTGATTCGTTGTTTTTAATACGATTCGTTCAATTGTATCGTGGCCAGCACGTATCCATAAAATTTGAATGAACGAGTCGTAAGTATTGAATCGATTCACAATGCAACTCATTCGTCTCTACGGCTCGTTCGTTCAAGAAATCGTGAGAATTGATTAATTGTTTTCAATACCATTCGTTCAATTGAATCGTGGCCTGCACGTGTCCATAAAATATGAATGAACGAGTCGTAAGTATTGAATCGATTCACAATGCGACTCATTCGTTTCTACGGTTCATTCGTTCAAAAAATTGTGAGAATTGATTTATCGTTTTCAATACGATTCATTCGCTTGAATCGTGGCTAGCACATATCCGTAAAATTTGAACGAACGAGTTGTAAAAAAAGACTCGTAAGACTTGAAGCGGATCACAATGCGATCATTCGTTTGTACGGTTCGTTCGTTCAAAATATCGTGAGTATTGATTCATTGATTACTTCGTTCATTCAATTGAATCATGGCCTGCACCGATCCATAAAAATTGAACGAACGAGTCGTATGAATTGAATCGGATCACAATGCGACTCATTCATTTTTACGGCTCGTTCATTCAAAGAATCGTGAAAATTCGCCCATTCCTTACAATACGGTTTATTTAAAAAATGAATATTAGAATTATATACTATGAGCTTGGGTACCCACATTTTTGTAATAACAATGATGTAAATGTCGAGAGAAATCTCTGAACACCTCACTAGTGGGGGAGAGGGATCAAAGATTCCTCAAAAACGCTTCAAGTAATTAATGGACACTCCCTTAAGCTATCTATTATTATTCAATAAAAGTCCTATGCAATGTGTTTATAATTTTAGGCTAAGATTGATGTGCCTTATCCGCTTAAGTTTGTCCGTACTACATCGAAAAATGAAGCTAGTATTGTCAATATCAATGAAAAGGTAGTAGATGTTTTCTTTAAAGAAGACCTGGTCAAAATTAAGGTAATCTCAAATCAAGATGGAGCACAATTTGTGATTCAGTATGACATTGAAAACGATTCGTCTAATAATACGGTAAGTAGAACGTAAAATGTTTTTTTCAAAAACCATCTTACATTCTGTAATTCTGTAGCTTAGAAAAGAGAATTCTGTAGCTTAGAAAACGCTAAGCGCGTTTAGACGCTCAGCGCTTTTTTCGCTTAGCGCCCACTTAACTACCGATTTGGATATTTTCATTTGACGTGCTTAGGGTCTTTACTGATTGCGCTAAGCGATTCGAAAACCGTTACCTAGGCTCGTTTTGCTCATCGATCTTTCAGTAAAAATAGAAAAAATTGTGATTTTGTGCGTTCTCTTGCTCTTTAGTGAAAACTACTTCTTCTTTTATAGATTCCTCAATAAGTAATTGATAATTTACGACTTTGCAGCTATAAATATTGGTCAAACATCTAAAACGCTGAGAAGCGTCTATATCCATAGAAAAATAGGTTGACATAACTCAACAATAGGTTATGAAATTCACGTAACATTGACATTTTTCATTGATTTATTCACATTTGACTATTAGATACCTGAGAAATTGCGATGCTGTCAATATGTGGTCAATATGTGACACTGACTTGGCGTTCCGCTAATCGAATACTTTCGCTTACCGCTTTGAAAGCGTAAAGGCGGCCACGGACTTCGTTGTTTTTTTAGCAGTGTTAAGCCGGAGTCTCATGCATCCGAAATCCGATGACACGACGATCCGACGGTGCTCTTATTGGTTGAAATATTTTGACACCAATTTTTATCCGATAATTTTAACTAATCGTCCGACGTCGTATAAAGTTAAATTTTGTTTAACTTTTGTACGATATCGTGTGTTTTTTAACCTCACTTTTTTTGAAAACATTTGTTTTTAAAAACAAGTTTAGTGGGAAGTGGGCAATTTGGGGATATTTGGCGAGGAAGTTATTTTTATAAGTGTTTCTCCAATAAAACATGACATGAATCTCTATTCAGTGCAGCAGAAAAATGTCAAAAGTGTCAAATTTCGGAACGAACTTTCGGATGTATGTGACAGGCCTTTTTTATTTCACAGGATAACTTCAAATTTCGGATGTCGTACCATCGGATTTCGGATGCATGAGACTCCGGCTTTAAGCTTGATTTTCATGCATTCGTTGTCCGACGATACGTTGATACGATATTAATATCGTTGGTTGTATTTAAAGGCTTCGATTGGTTAACCGTTTCTAACCAACTGAAGTCTTTAAATTCAACCATCAAAATTAATATCGTATCATCGTATCGTCGGACAACGGATGCATGAAAATCAAGCTTTAATCGTCGATAAACACTGCTGGACTAGATAATTAAAATTGTATTTGCACACTACGTTAGTGTAAAACGGTAACAAAATCAAACGCGTCGATTTACTTGCAGTGGCGGCAGTGATAGAAACACTAGAATTAAAAAAAAAAAGAAAAATAGAAAAAAGTGGGCTATTGGTTATTTAAAACATACCAGGATCTCTCATCTTCTTTAATTCCTTGCGGAAATTGCTACGAAAAGAGTCTATTTTATTGTTTACACTTTGTAGAGTAGCTTCCATATCCACCTCCTTCATTTTTTCATGTAGAATTTCATGAGCTTTATTTTTTGTTGTTGCGATTTTTGTAATCATCAGTCTTAATTTTCCATAACGAGGCAAGAACATATACACAACGTCTATAAACTATATTAAAAACGCTTTATTTAAATACTGTAAGTCCATGTTGGCTAAAATACTTTTTTTGAAAAAGTTACAAATTTATAGAATCAGCCATACAAATGATACAACGACAACTAATAAATGCAACATGTACACGTGCACCAATGTAAAAGACCGCCGGTTAAAAAGTATTGGCGCACACATTATCGGTTTTCACGAACATGGATGAACCGACGCTTAAGATTTCAAGCAAAGGCAGAAATTTTCACCGACGGTGATGATATTCGTATTGTGCCACAGACTAATCAGTTTTAATCGTCGTTGTTAATCGCGGCGATTAAAAATGACAAAAAAGAACGAAGTCTGTGGGGCCCTTAACGTTTTTATATCGGAAGTTCCAGACTTCGGGCCCTCTATGCAAAAAATAAAATTAAAAACCAACAAATAATAATTTAAAAAAATGATTTGTGTAACATTTAAAATAGCAATTTTTATTTAATTCGGCATATTTTATACTCAACCCTCTGGCACGGCATTGACCAAATAGCATTGGTGCCAACTGGTAACAATTTGATTTCTGGTGTTATTAGTCCTTGTATTTTTTACTCATTGGGTAGGTACTCTGTTATTTCTACACACTTAATTTCATAACAATATAAACTGTTCAACTTTAAAACTAGTTTTAAATATCAACTAACATTAAATCATCCTGTTGATGTACAGGGTGTCCCAGGCTGAGCGTGCATTAGAGTTTTATTACAACATCTAGACCGGAGATTGTTTGTACATCATTGTTTCACAAGGAGATCTCTTGATTAAAAATATTTTCAATATGGTGGCACTTCCGGAAACACCGGAAGTTGACAACAACTTTCTTATTTTAAATAGGTACCCCAATTTTTTATTACATATACTTCAATTCACTGATTCACATTTTGATTTAAAGACTCTATACCTAACATTAACCGTTTTTAAGAAAAACAATATTTAAAATTTTTAGACGAAGAAAACTGCCTATCAAATAAGTATATATAGCCTAAACGTTAAATTTAGTGATTACCACAGTCACTGTGATATAAAGATAAGACATGTGGCTATCTATTTCAAAAATTAAGTTGTTCGAATGTCATATACTGTTTGACCAGCAGATCTGAAGCTACGGAAGGAATGCAAAAAAAATCGATATTGCCACGTTTATCTATAAAATTGCAAAATTGCCAGACATAAACTATAAATTTTAATATATTTTTAATAGATATAAATGTGTTCAGCATATATTTTTTAACGTAGTTCATATTGTTTGGCCTGTTTTATTTAATAACTTATTTCTTTCATTCTGTATAATCTGCTTATTATGAAAGGTGAAGATTTTCCAAGGATATCATCGGCAAGCCGGCATCGCCGCACATTGCCGCCTATTCATCGAACATGATTGGCGAGGGTACGTCACAGGATTTGTTACCACGCGGTTGCCATGGCCTTTACGCCTTTCCTATTCACTTACTTTATCCCCAGCTTCACGATCTCTTTTGGAAAGAGTACAAATTAATATTGATTACTATTGAAATATCCAGTGGCGGTGTGATTTTTTTGATCATTAGTACTTTCTTTCATTATTTTGTACCGGTTATCCAAACTTTATTCCTATATTTTTCGTATATTTAATAGTTAAGTTGTGTTTTATTCTTTTGTTATATTGTTTTTCGTTCGTAATTTTTAATTATTAATATTAAGTTTGATCGTATATTTGTGTTTTAAAATGAATAAATTGGTTAAGGGTTAGGACTAATTAAGACGCTACATAGCCAGACAAGAGAAATAATAGCTAATTTATAAGTAGAATAATAATAATGTAATTATTTAGAATGTTAAAATTAAATATTGGCTAATAGGAAAAGCACACATTTTACCAAAATATTTTAGCTAAGCTAAAATAAATATAAATGAACGTGGATGAAATCTCATTTGGTTTATTTCATTGTATTAATAATAGGGTTTGCGACGAAGAAGCTACAGAGAGTTCGCTTAAGTTGCCGCTTAAACGTAAAATTGAGCGGATATCTCTTTATACCGGAGGTAGCGTATCGGCTATATAAAAAAAATTCACACAGAAGATAAAAAAGGCTGGAAACTAACCCCGATAAAATGTTATCTAGCCCTGGAAAGAAACGACCACGCGAGGCAGCTGTTGAAAACCTCGATGACTTTGATGTTCAAGTGGTCAGGAATTTGATAAATAGATTTTCTCTCGAATTCAAAATCGTCCCTACAATTAGAAAACTTTTTCAAAAATTGCATGAAGAATCGAATTGCGATATAGATAGGAGATATAAATATATACTTACGCGAAATTCAAAAATATCGCCAAGAGGGCCGAAGTATTATCTATTTGGATGAAACATGGGTACTGTACTGTACCCCGTAGCTTCAGATCCGTTGATCACCCAGTATGTTAGCTATTGAGTGTTTAACATCAATATTCATAGAATTTTACAGTGAATTAAAGTATGTAATAAAAAATGGGGGTATCTACTTAAAATAAGAAAGTTGCTGTCAACTTCCGGTATTTCCGGAAGTGCCGCCATATTGAAAATATTTTTAATCGATAGATCTCGTTGTGAAACAACAATATGCAAAATAATTCCGATATTCATATATCTAGATATTGTAGTTCTCTAGAAACTTCTAATGCGCGCTCAGTCTGGAACACCCTGTATACTAAATTTTTTGTAGATTTTACTGGACGATGGACACTATTTATTTCCGCCTAAATCTTTGGACATGCCTAACCAAAACAAAATTATATATTTTGTCGTAGATACCATGAATATCTCAGGTCTGGTATAAGTTTTGTCAAAGAAACTTAAAATGTATTAATTTAAAAAGCTCTTTACTTTCAGATAAAATTAAAGAATCGTTGAAGGCAGTATTAGGCCACCTACAACCAGGAGATATGTTTAGCCTTATTCACAGTGGGACAACCGTTACATTTTGGGACATAACTTCAAATAAAATTGTATTAATGGGATCAGCGATTTCTTCAAACGACACTGTAAGTAGAGATGGGTATTTTAAAAGATTTAGGTCCGGAGTTACATCAAGCTTCATGGACCTACATCCAGGTTCTACTTCTGCCGGATCTATATCATTCTAACCTACAGGGTTGTTCACCACATACGACACGGAGTATAGCAGCTAAACAATTACATTTTTACAAATTGTAAGTTTTGGGTTCGTTGATGGACTATTAGAGCTACAATTTAAAAATATTTTTACGAGATACAGAGTGTCCCAAATAAGCAAAAAATATTATAGTTATATTTTTTTAAATGGAACACCCTATATATTATTTTATTTTTAGATTCTACGATTGAAGTAAACGTAAATTTGATTAAGGTTTATCATACTTGAACTCTACCGTTTTTGAAATATTTTCAATTTTATGAAATTGCAGTAAAAAATTTTAAGCTTCATTTCTCCAAGGGTATCAAAGTTTTTGATACTAAATATTTGCTGAAGTTTATTTATTGATCAGATATTGTATTGCAATAATAAACAAAATACTGCCTTATACAGAGTGTCTAAAAATTTATATTAAATAATTATTAGTTTTAACCGGTAGTAACTTCTTTAATTTAAATAGAACACCCTGTATATTTAACAAGAATCAGATGCACAAATTAATTGTTTATCGAATTGTATTATACCATTCTTTATTTATCTCTTCAAGTTTTCTTAGCATTTATTACTATACCCATGGAATATTGACATTTTAGATTATTTTTAAAGATGTAACACATTTTCAAAGAGTACAGATACTAATATTGTCCATATAGTTCGCTCATTTCATTAAAAAATAAAAAAAAAACTGTTTATTTTTTTTGTTAAAGAGGACCAATTAATATGATCCCAGTATTCAAACTACATTAATTGACGGTTTACGTTGATTTATAATAATTGCCCCAAATACTATAAAACTGAATTTTGTATGTGTATGAGACAGTACGGTAAAAAGTTATAAATTTTATTTCATTTTTTTGACGAATGCTTATTTATAACAGAGGCGGTCATTTTCATAACTTTTAATTATATTGATTTCTCAGTCAAATCCACATTTATTTAGAATAATTTATTAATTAAAACAATTAAGTACCAATGTAATTAACTAATTTTTGGGCTGAAGTAATGGTGGTATATTTAATTGGTATACTCTTTTACAAAAATTTAAATAGTTTTTTTGGAAACAAATGGGCTTGCAATATTATTATTTTTACCACAGGTAAATTTTTTAGATATGTTGCTTTAAAAAAATCTAAAATGTCAATATTCCATGGGTATAGTGATAAATGAGGTATAAATTATAATAAAATGGATTTTCTCTGAAAATTTGAAGAGATAGATAAAAAATGGTATAACACTACTGGATAGACAATTAAATTGTGCATCTGATTTACCTGAAATATACGGGGTGTTCCATTTAAATTAAACAAGTTATTGCCATTTAAAACTAATCATTATTTAATATAAATTTTTGGACACTGTATAAGGTGGTATAATTTTTATTATTGCAACACAATATCTCATCAAAAAATAATCTTCAGTAAATATTTAGTATTAAGAACTTTGATACCCTTGGAGAAATGAAGCCTTAAAATTTTTACTGCAATTTCATATAATTGAAAATATTTCAAAAACGGTAAGGATTAAGTGTGATGAACCTTAATCAAATTTACCTTTATTTCAATCGTAGAATCTAAAAATAGAATAATATACAGGGTGTTCCATTTAAAAAAATACTCGAGAAAATACAACTATAATATTTTTTACTTATTTGGGACACTCTCTATCTTGTAATTTTTTTTTTAAATTATAGCTCTAATAGTTCTTCAACGAACCCAAAACTGACAATTTGTAAAAATCTAATCGTTTAGCTACAACACTCCGTGTCGTATGTGGTGAACAACCCTGAATAATTTTAATTTAACTATTTTGTTTTGCACGAACCTTCCGAGTTCAAAAGTTTTATAGTCTATTAGGGAATACTGATATTTGCGTTTTTTGAAGAGGCATTAAAGTTGTACTGTCGTCTAGAATTTCGTTTTATTTGGAATAGGCATCTAAAAGTTATCTGCAAAAATCTATCTAACTTTAAATTACTAAAAATTTGTAATACGGCCCAGAGAAAGCTGCAATTAAAATACCAGCAAAAATATGATTTTGTCATTGTCAAATTCGATGTCACATTTTTTTATTTACAAGAATTTCTGTGGTTTGTAAAAGGTGGTTCATTTTTTTCTGAATTGGAATGATCATCTACAAAAGAATTAATTGAACTGAGAATAGTATTCACGGTTTATGACTGGTTTGCTGTTCATTACTCGATCACTCGCAGGCCTCGCTCATTCAACATTCTCATACATCCACAACAATTTAAGAGATAATCGAAATATTTGTAACACATGGAACTTTATTAAACTATACTAATTAATAAAATGTTTACATAATTCCTCTTTCATAGCCAAACAATACACCAAATGATTGTGAAATTCACGCCTCATAATAAGCATTCCACAGAGGTGTCGTTTTCAGTCCATTTAAATTTCTGTATTTAATATGCCCATAAAGACGGTTTTTGAGTGTTCTCTACAGGAAGAAGTCGTTCGGCGAAAGATCCTGTGGTCTTTTTCTACTGTATCATCAATAAACGGGAATGTTTTTCTTTTCTTTAACATGAAGAATATTAAAGTCATTGTTATTTTCTTCCTGTTCAATTGTTTTTGTCTTTACACTTAATACCTTAGTGCCTTTAGTTTCAAACCTCCGGTTTATTCTATAAACTGTAAACTTATTCAGTACAGGCTTTCCGGAGACTGAGCTGCGAACATTATCTAACACAGCGGGAATACTATTTCCAGCAAAATGCCGTTTAACCGTCGTAACTTTTTTGAGAAGTTGCGAAATTCATAATTATTTTATACAAAATTACTCGGTTTGGTACCTTCAAATTTTTACAAGCAAAATGTGACATCGAATTTTGAAAATTATATTTTTGCTGATATTTTGTATTGTAATTATTGTAGTTTTCTCTGGGCCGTATTATAAATTTTACTAATTTGAAGGTAGATTTTTGCAAATAACTTTTAAATGACTATTCCAAATGAAACGAAATTCTACACAAAAGTACAACTTTAACGCCTTTTAAAAAAATCTAATACAACTTTTACATAAAATCATGTGGGGAGATAATATTTAACCTTTTCAAAATTAGCATGGTATTTCCTAGGTCCTGTGTTCCGATGCACCCATTAGCGTAACTAGCAATTTATCCTGGGGCGCCTAGGGCCTTTGTTTTTTTAAAAATGAAAAATAATTAAAAAAAAAACAAATTTTTTGAATAAAACGTTTACATGAATTTCTCTATCTATAAATTTCAGAGACTTGGTTATCAAACCGTGTTCTCGTAACATACAAATTCCTACAAATTTTCTAAAAAAATAAAAATTAACACATTTTTTGAACACAACAAAATAATATTAACTAAACAAAACTAGAAAACGTCATTTTTACTGCAGCACAAGCAAATAAAAATTAATAGGTAGCTAATAGTCATAATTCAGGATTTCTCTGAAAAAAATCGATATTGCCACGTTTATCTATAAAATTGCAAAATTGCCAGACATGAACTATAAATTTAATATATTTTTATTATATATAATGTGTTTAGCATATATTCTGACGTATATTACTAAGGAATTTTAACGTAGTTCATATTGTTGGATATGTTTTATTTGATATCTTATTTCTTTCATTCTGTATAATCTGCTTATTACGAAAGGTGAAGATATATCAACGATATCATTGGCAAACCGGCATCGCCGCGCTTATTCATCGAACATGATTGGCGAGAGTACGTCAGAGGATTTGTTACCACGCGGTTGCCATGGCTTTTACGCCTTTCCTATTCGCTAGCCTTATCCCCAACTTCACGGTTACTTCTGAAAAGAGTAGAAATATTGAATACTATTGAAATATCCAGTGGCGGTGTCATTCTTTTGATCATTATTACTTTCTTTCATTATTTTATACCGGTTATCCTAAACTTTATTCCTATATTTTTCGTATATTTAATAGTTAAAATGTGTTTTATTGTTTTGTTATCTTGTTATAATGTTTTTCGTTTGTAGTTTTTAATTATTAATATTAAGTTTGATCGTATATTTGTGTTTTAAAATGAATAAATTTGTTCGGGTAAGACGCTACATAGCCAGCACAAGAGAAATAATAGTTAATTTATATAGGTAAGTAGAATAATAATAATGTAATTATTAGAATACTAAAATTAAATATTGGCTAAAATGAAAAGCACACATTTTACCTAAATATTTTAGCTAAACTAAAATAAATGTAAATAAACGTGGATGAAATCTCATTTGGTTTATTTCCTTGTGTTCATAACAGGGTTTGCGACGAAGAAGCTACAGAGAGTTCGCTTAAGTTGCCGCTTAAACGTAAACTTGAGCGGATATCTCTTTATACCGGAGTTAGCGTATCGGCTATAAAAAAATTCACACAGAAGATAAAAAAAGACTGGAAACTAACCCCGATAAACGTGAGCTCGACGACTTTGATTTCCAAGTGGTCAGGAATTTGATAAATAAATTTTATCTCGAATTCAAAGTCGTCCCCACAATTAGAAAGCTTTTGCAAAAATTGCAGGAAGAATCGAATTTTCCTTTGGCAGGGACACGCTTAGGGGGTTATTAAAATCAAATGGATTTTTTTGGCGTAAATGTCAAAATAACAGATAAATATTAATGGAGCGGCCGATTATATTGCAGAGAGAGATATAAATATATACGCGAAATTCGAAAATATCGCCAAGTATTATCTATTTGGATGAAACATGGGTAGACAATGACCTAACCTTTAAAAAGTGCTGGCGGAGCGATACCATATCTCGTGTAATAGGCAATATTGGATCTACTGGTGAGTAAAATTATGTTTTGTTTGCGCTTCCAAAGTTAACTATTTTCAAGATTTTTTTTGCTGGAAATAGTTATATCTAAAATTATGTATTGTAGAAAAAAATATAGTTAGTACAGATATATAAATAAATATACCTCAAGACTCAGTCTTGATGCTGATAATGTTAACATGGTTAGCGAAACGTGCGCCCAGTGTAAAAGTAAAAGTGTTTTGGTGTATTGTGCTGATTTAGTGTTTTATTTTACTGTGTAACACCAAAGGTCCCAATCCCCGGCTGTAATTATTTCTTCTATTATATTAACAACACATAATAATAAAATTATTCAAAATATTTAAGGGAGCTTTAATAAAAGCTTTTAGTGTGACTATCTGCTAACTCAACAGTAACGATTCAAACAGGATAAAGTTTTTTGAAAAAAAATTATTAATCTGAATATTATATTTATGATACATATTATTTTCATAAAACACCGTACGCCCATGCCTATTTTATGAATGAAATTGGGCGTGTCTTGTTTACAACTGCGTTCCCCTGCCGATACCCCGTAGCTACAGATCCGTTGGTCACACTATAGTTACGCCAATGGATGCACCACACGGTATACTAATAAAAGTTAGTCGAGACAATTAAATCCCATCAAAACTGTTGCATAGGGATTGCTTCATGCTAGAAGCAAAACAATCGGCATTTAACAGATAATATTTTTATAAAATGGCATCTTTTTTACAAAAAAAAATAAACTTAAATTTGAGTGTAGTCCTTGTCTGCTGGTTTATTTGACCTGTACAACCATAAAATATTCCATAAATTCATTAATTTATACATTGATCACATTCTACCATCCAACCATCAGCCATTGATTTAGAAACTATGTTTTATGTTTATTAACTATTTCAGGAAATCCCTGTACCAATTGAAGCATCACAAGAAAATATAAGAAAGGCACAAACTATAATTGATAATTTTGGTACTTCTAAGGAATCAAACATAGAGTTGGCTTTGGAAGTTGCTTTAAAAAATGCGTCTATACGTACGGATCAATTATACAAACAAGCTATTGTTTTTTTCAAAAATACGGAAGATAGTTTGGCTATAATATTAATAAGAAAGGTAATTAATATCAGTCAAGTAGAGATATTTTTCGCTTACAGGCATATTTGTACTCCACAATATTTTTATTAATAATTTATGTTTTTCAATAACAATTTTTATTTTAAAACAAGTCAGTGGTGTACCACTTTTTTCTCCAAAAATGTTCAATGTATAACCCAGTATGAACAGACTGGTTGAAATAAATAAAATTCTTTGTACACCAAAAACGGTACTTTGATACGTAGAAAACGTGTATCAGATTTCATAAAGACCTCTATAATAACAGAGTTACAATAAAAGTTTTTTTTTGAAAAATGTACCACCATGTATCTCAATAATTAAGATGTTGAAGATATACTATATTTGTACTATATATGTTTATCTCTACAGAAAAATCCTATATGGATATTTCGCCACTGCAAGAAAATCAAATAATAATAATCCATATAGGACTTTTTTGGAGAGATGAATCCGCCACGTTTATTTTATGCCACACCCTAATGTGTAGAAAAACTTTAATTTGTGAAAAACATATTCAAGTACATGTTTTATTTATATTTATTTTAAGTAAACTTTATCAAAAATGCATTAACATGCTGGAGAATTGAGATTTGAAGTTGTTTGGCCGTTTCGAAAAACTAATTTTGTAAACAGAAATAAATAAATATATAAATTACTATGTTTTGAAGAATAAATATCTGTTTTTATTAGGGTTGCCACCTTTTTGCAAAGTAAAAGAAGTAGTAAAAAAAGGACATTGGACTATGAAAAAGGACCAAGGGGGGGGTGGGGGGGTAAGCTGTTGATTGCGAACCGCCGATTATAATTCGCTACTTTAAAATTTTGAAAAACTAATTTTAAGATCAAATTAGTTAATAATAAATCCTAAACTATCATTTGAGATTAAACGGGGAGTTCTAAATAATGTTGCCGATTCTAAACAATAGTATATTGTTTTATTATGAGTAAAAATGATACATTTTGTGGCTAGGCTGACGAACATGATATTTTTTTTCAAACATCACATATAATTTTTCAAACAATTTCAAACGTTGAAAATAATATAAAAATATTTAAAAGTAATACACTTTATGTCAGTTTAATAATATACTTTCGTACTTTTGTGCTTAGGCGTAAAAATGCTTTACTTTTATGCCTAGGCGTTAAAAGAACTTTTTTATATTGCAATCGACACGCGGCGACGCACGTCTCAAAAATTAATACTTTTCTGACTTGAAAAAAAAAACATTTATTAATAAGTTTTATAACATGTCTAATTAAATTTGGATTACTAATTAAATTTGGATAATAATTTATTAATGGTTGCTGTATAATTCTCTCAGGGAAAATGCGTAAATAAAAAGGACATTTTAGGACAAAAAAGTCAAAAGGACAATTTGTTTCAAAAAAGGACTGTCATTTTCAAAAAAGGACAGGTGGCAACCCTAGCTTTTTATTATCATGAATTCTAATATAAGTTTTTTTTTTAAATATCTCAATATCTCTCTATCCTCATATAGCCGTTCCACTGTGCAAGAACAAAGAACAAAACGACTTGAACAAAATATTAAAGAAGTATTTTTTATTCCCATTTCTTATAGATTACGGCTTTGAATGGTGGAAAAATTCCCATTGTATCAGTAGTCCAAGGATGTTTAGAAGATACTGATGTATTTAATAAAATTTGTCTTCAAAATTACGGATTTGCCAGACGCATTTACGATTTTATCGATATTGAGTTGCAATTTGCTGATTTCAACTTTCAGTTGTCTCAAGCTTTAACATCAAATGTTACTTTTATGGAAGTTTCTGAAATTTATGATTTAGGTAAGTTGATTTACTTAACTTTTTTTATAGGGCCAAGTGGACATTTTTTACACCTTTTTGTTTCTTTTCTTAGTTACAACCATTTAAATACAGTATTAAAAAAAATTGGTGGTACGTGGTACGAAAACTAATGTAAAAGTAGAAGTAGACCAAAAGTACTCCTAAAAAGTCAGTACGCAAAAAAGAGTGGCTCGTATTTAACTCAGAAAAAGTCTAAAAATGAAACATACTACGTTAAATATAAGACATATCTCAAAATGCACTTTTAAAGACCTTGCTATTTCGTTTATATTAAATGCTGGAGTTAATATGAGACTAGAACGAAGGATAAAAAATAGACATAGACATTTACTTTTTTAATAGTAGAACCTAAAATAAAAAATCCAAACTAATAAAGAAAATCTGCAATTAATTCAAATAAAAATACAGTAAAATTACACCGTCGCAAAACAAAATTGTAAACTAAAAGTGTAAAACAATAATTGTTTTACACTATAATAATTATTATTATATTAAATTAAAAGTGAAAAAAAGTTAATAAGTGGCATTACAATATTAATATTGTCAACATATTGGAACAAAAAGAAATACAAATATACTAATTAACCAACTAGATACTTCTCAAAATCTATTGAAAGAGCAAACATCTGCATGACTAGAATCCTGTATTACAAACTTGAGGGTGGTAATTTTAAAATAATATCTTTATTTAAAACATTATCTCAGTAACTATACATATAGAAAACTTTAGCTGCGTTACATGTCCGCTGCTGACTAACTTTGCAGTCTTTTTAAGATCTTTTTCGGTATATTTCTTTGTATTCTATACATATTTTTTGTCATTTAGATTTGTGACCAAAATTTTAAAATACACACTCTATTAAGATGTCTCACCTTTACTCATACGCAGGGTCGGACTGGACCAGAGGGGCCCGGGTGGAAATTTTTTGTGCATTTGACGTTTTGATCAATTTTTCCTTCCATTAATTTGTTGTTAATCCCTAATGAAATCAGGGAACTACCCGTAATGCAATGCAGGGATAACCTCAGAATATTACCGTCCCTTTTTTCTATTTCATTTCTACACGGAAAATAACATTTAGGAAGAAAAAACTAGAACATTGCACCACAGATTGTACCGGGTGGCCAATTAAGAATGGACGCCGGCTGTATCTCAGAAACTACTTATCGTATAACTTTGGGAAAAAAATTCTAATATGTAAATTGATCAAGAGAAATCGCTGGAAATTATTTTCAAATTCGAAAAATGTCCGCTAGTGGGCGTCTCGCTGTTAGCCAATCAGAAAACGGAGTTTTTCTCAAAAATATGCAGGTGAACAGGTATTTTAAATATTACTATTATATAGATATAGAGTGTTTTGCTCTATCTCATAAATAAAATAAATTTAAATCGGTTAACCTAAACCAGAGTTATCCTTATTTTAATAAAAGCAAGTTTAACCTTCCCCCACCACTTTATTTTATGAGATAGAGCAAAATACTCCTATATCAAAAAAATTACAAATTTCTCGACGATTACAATAGTAATATTTAAAATACCTTTTCACCTGCATATTTTTGAGAAAAACCCTGTTTTCTGATTGGCTATCAGCGAAACGCCCCCTAGCGGACATTTTTCGTACTTGAAAATAATTTCCAGCGATTTCTCTTGGTCGATTTACTTATAAGAATTTTTTTCCCAAAGCTATGCGATAAGTAGCTTCTGATATACAGCCGGCGTCCATTCTTAGTTGGCCACCCGGTACTTAGATTTTTGTAAACATATGACCCACAATTGTTATATTAGCTAAGTTATTATTCTTCCCCAACTAATATATAGTAGTTCAACGAATGCAATCTGAATATTCTGACACAAATTGTGAGAATTACCATCATTGTTCGCTATTTTCGTATAAAATCAAGCATATTTAACTATTTTGAAGATCTTGTAATAGAAATTAAAGCTACAACGTGATGCCTAGTAAAATTTTAGACGCAAAATACAGCAGGGTTTTCTATAATTGTAGGGTTTATTACAATTTATTTTTTCCGTGTAAATAAGAATAAATAATGAACTATTTTACATATAGGTTCTATGACAGCGGCGGCCCGCGAAGGCTGGTGCCCGGATGGCAATCGCCACCCTGACTATATGGCCAGTCCGACCCTGCCCCTACTGTCTCTTATTTATCTTTTATCTCACTATTACTCCTGTGTGGGTCTTAAATTTGCTCCTAAAAAAATAGATTCTCATACCAACAGGACTTAATTTAAACGGACATGCCTTTTTAGACCATGTACCGTAACCTATATAGTATACAGGTTTTTAATTTGTTTATTACTCGCGGTAAGAGCTTTATGGTTGAAATATGGCAGCCTCGGCCCGCTCGTCGATAGACGACGCGACGGGACGAGTCGGCAGAAAACACTATAAGTGCATGCGTTCTCAATAGGCAGTGTTGCCATTCTGTTTCCCTATAAGTAACTGTCCAATTAACAACCTGTATATGTTGTGGTTGCGAAGTCTGATGTCAGGTTAATGTCGACATTACCCAGTTAATCTCGAGAATAACACAAAACAAAACAGCCAAAAACATATCCAAAGCCAAACATTAACCTGTTAATGTCGACATTAACCGGACATCCGACTTTAACTGTAATATATACATTTAACCACACTAGAAAAATCTTATATTCTTTTATTTCCCACAATAATATCATCTTCATTGTTTTTTTATATACTTATACATATATAATAACATAACCATTTAACAATAATTATTGTTAAATGTTTAAACAAGAAAACTGACTGAGTTGATCCACAATTTGAAGTTTTCCACAAGTCTTGTCTCACTTTTACACCACTTGACTAGAGTTACTGAGATTCGCAAATTTTCTTTTATGTACCTTTTTATCCACTATAATAGTAATTCCAGTTATTTTAGTAATAAGTAATATAAAGAATAAATTTAATATTCTTTAAGAGGATTATTTTTTTATTATTTTGCTTTATTTTTAAGATGATGAAAATTGGTATATTTTTCTTTTTTTAAATAAAAATGGTATAACTATGGTATTATTATTGAAAAATCAAATTTGCTATACCTATAGATGACCAAGCGATTTATAATTGTTTGTTTTCAGTTAGTCAGTTTTAGTTAATCAGAGTTATCCTTATTTTAATAAAAGCAAGTTTAACCTTCCCCCACCACTTTATTTTATGAGATAGAGCAAAATACTCCTATATCAAAAAAATTACAAATTTCTCGACGATTACAATAGTAATATTTAAAATACCTTTTCACCTGCATATTTTTGAGAAAAATCCTGTTTTCTGATTGGCTATCAGCGAAACGCCCCCTAGCGGACATTTTTCGTACTTGAAAATAATTTCCAGCGATTTCTCTTGGTCGATTTACTTATAAGAATTTTTTTTCCCAAAGCTATACGATAAGTAGTTTCTGATATACAGCCGGCGTCCATTCTTAGTTGGCCACCCGGTACTTAGATTTTTGTAAACATATGACCCACAATTGTTATATTAGCTAAGTTATTATTCTTCCCCAACTAATATATAGTAGTTCAACGAATACAATCTGACTATTCTGACACAAATTGTGAGAATTACCATCATTGTTCGCTATTTTCGTATAAAATCGCTATATTTAACTATTTTGAAGATCTTGTAATAGAAATTAAAGCTACAACGTGATGCCTAGTAAAATTTTAGACGCAAAATACAGCAGGGTTTTCTATAATTGTAGGGTTTATTACAATTTATTTTTTCCGTGTAAATAAGAATAAATAATGAACTATTTTACATATAGGTTCTATGACAGCGGCGGCCCGCGAAGGCTGGTGCCCGGATGGCAATCGCCACCCTGACTATATGGCCAGTCCGACCCTGCCCCTACTGTCTCTTATTTACTTTTTGTTCAATTATTACCCAAAAATTTTAAAATTTGCTCCTAAAAAATAGATTCTCATACCAACAGGACTTGAATTTTAACGGACATGGCTTTAGACTATGTACCGTAACCTATATAGTATGGCAGTTTTTAATTTGTTTATTACTCGCGGTAAGAGCTTATGGTTGAAGAGAGCCCGCTTCGTCGATAGACGACGCGACGGGACGAGTCGGCAGAAAACACTATGGGCGCATGCGTTCTCAATAGGCAGTGTTGCCATTCTGTTTCCCTATAAGTAACTGTCCAATAACAACCTGTATATGTTGTGGTTGCAGTCTTTGATGTCGGGTTAATGTCGACATTACCCAGTTAATCTCGAGAATAACACACAAAAACAGCCAAAAACATATCCAAAGCCAACATTAACCTGTTAATGTCGGTATTAACTCGGACATCCGACTTTTTAACTGTAATATATATAAGATTAACTCATTAATTAGAAAAATCTTATATTCTTTTATTTCCCACAATAATATCATCTTCATTGTTTTTATATACTTATACATATATATTAACATAAACCATTTAACAATAATTATTGTTAAATGTTTAAACAAGAAAACTGACTGAGTTGATCCACAATTTGAAGTTTTCCACAAGTCTTGTCTCACTTTTACACCACTTGACTAGAGTTACTGAGATTCGCAAATTTTCTTTTATGTACCTTTTTATCCACTATAATAGTAATTCCAGTTATTTTAGTAATAAGTAATATAAAGAATAAATTTAATATTCTTTAAGAGGATTATTTTTTATTATTTTGCTTTATTTTTAAGATGATGAAAATTGGTATATTTTTCTTTTTTTAAATAAAAATGGTATAACTATGGTATTATTATTGAAAAATCAAATTTGCTATACCTATAGATGACCAAGCGATTTATAATTGTTTGTTTTCAGTTAGTCAGTTTTAGTTAATCAGTAATATATATTTTTTTATTGCGATTGCCTGGGAAGAAAATTATTTTGCGTATGTACTAAATAATATTTTTAGGATTACCTGAGCTTATGCCAAAAAAATATTCCCGTTATGAACGCCACCGGATTTATGCCGAAGTAAGAGCTGAAATGGTCAACCGCAAGCAAATGGCCTATCTTCTACCATACGATAATAAGTAAGTAATATTAAGTTTGTCTAGTTATTATTTATAAAAAAATTACAGTTGTATTACTATCAAAAAATATCTGACGTGAATGATATCTTTAGAAATGTTATAAGCAGTTATAGCAGTAAGTGGACAAACGAGCCTATAGAACTTTAGAGCTTTGATATACATGCCGTGAAATTATAGTACAAAAAGGAAGTATAGTATTTCCGAAGTCAATTGGAAATACTAGGACTCTTAATTCATTTGTCTAGACCAATAACTAAAGAATACAAGGATCAATAACACCCGAGACCAAATTGTTACCATGTCTCCAAACAGTGCCATGCCACATATTCTTCTTAACTTAGCTGCTTAAAGAGATATTTATATTTTTGATAAATGTTTTTACTACACCTATGTGTATGCTGCTTATTTAGGTTGTAGCATACTAATTAATTATAAAAAAAAACGAATTAAAAGGTTAACAAAGGCCACAAAACTAGTATCGACGTATAGCACATATCAGGTACATATAATATCAGAAAAATAATTATCAAATTCAATAAGAAAACGCTAAAAAAATGGAGTAGAGTGATGGACCGTTTATTTACCTATGAAACGTAACTCCTGGCTTTTTCTTATCGTTGCGGCTTTTACACTTGAAAGCTATTTGTTCAGCACCATTGTAATAAAGTTTATACAAAGTTCACTACACACAACAAACTATTAAAAATCTCTAAACTTATCGCTAGTGACACATCCGTTGTCTCCAAAAAGATGGCGTCTAGGGACCGTTTGACACGGGACAATATTCCAGCCTAAATTGTATACAATTTGTTGCACGCGCATTTTTAGTCAAATTGCATGCAATAAAATAGAACATGTTCTAAATTCTTGCATGCAATTAGCTGAACATGCGCAATACCTTTCCGCCTTCTTTTTTAGTATTAATATTAACGAAATTATACACCAACTGCACCGGCTATTGATATCAATTTTTCTTTTTCTATAGTTATAGTATAGTTTATTTTTATTTTATATTCAACAATCAACAGCAAGAAATTAATAATAACGTCAATAAATCCCGCTCTTTTCTGCGCATGCACTTGTACTAAATTTACTACCTGTAATCATGTAGTGTGACATACATACATATTTCTTGCATACAATATTTTATAAAATATAACCCAAACTACTTTCCAGTTCTTAAATTTAAGTCCCGTGTCAAACGGTCCTAACAACACAAGATCTGCTCCAGCCCTTATATGGGCGTTACGTGTCCTTGTATTCTTTAATCATTGGTCTGGTTGACAATACCGACAATGGCGTCCACAAAAAAAGTGCCGAAATTATAAGTCACAACCATTTATTAATATCCATCCGTATTATTTTTTTAATATTACAGGAATATATTTTTAACTTAATTCTTAATTTATTTTAAAATTACTTAATCAATCAAACTTAAGAAAAAAATTAATTTTAAAAGGTTGAAATTGAAAAAAGAAATAGTTATCAAAAACTAATTTTTACTTTTAATATTTATTTATTTTAATTTTAGACGTGAGCTCTTATATGGGTTTATTACCGATAAAACAGCGCTAGTCATCCGGAAATCATCAAAGAAGCCTTAGATTTGTGGAGAGTGATTATGAATGCTTATGCTTAAGTGTTAGAATTTATATACTTATTTTTATAATTTTTATATTATTTAGTTTTATTGAAGTGAAACTCAATAAAAATTCAAGGCCTTTACGAATCACGCAAACACTAAAAAACATTTAATTTAAAGCTAAACAAATAATTATAATAAACTTGACACTGTACCTGTGTACCAATATTCTCTGGTTGTATGCTAGGAAGTAAATTTTCATGCATATTTTTATCCATAGGTTTCTTGTTTCTGAATAACGATCTAGGTAAAATATCTAGCTCATTTGCTAACTCAGAATTAGAATTATTAGAGTTAAGCAACTCGCATTTTCATTGGAGGACATTTTCGAATTTATTTCAAACCAATAATCAACGAGAATATTCGTATAATTTAACAAAATTCCTGCAAACCACTATAAATACGAATTGATGGTTAGGTTCAAAGATTTTCCTCTTCTTAAATAAATTTAAATGTTAACATTATTACGCATATGCATAAACAAGTGTGTATTTTGGTATCCACAAAATTTGCAGTTGCGGAAACAGAAAATGCAGATTACAGAACTAAATTGAAAATAATATTTATATTAAAACAGCATTATAAGTCACTTTTTCAAACATGTCCTTCAAATCCTTCAATTTAATAAACTGTTAGTAAAAAGTTTCACTTCAAATATGCGCATATAGTGCACACACTGTTTTTTTTGTTAACTTTTTTATATTTTATATCCGTGTTTATATATTTATATACAAGGCTTATACAGGGTTGTTCACAACATACGACACGGAGTATTGTAGCTAAACGATGAGATTTTTACAAATTTTAAGTCTTGGGTTCGATGAAGGACTATTAGAGGTACGATTTAAAAATAATTTTACAAGATACAGAGTGTCCCAAATAAATAAAAAATATCAAAGTTGTATTTTTTTAAATGTAACACCCTGTATATTATTGCATTTTTAGTTTCTGCGATTAAAATAAAGGTCAATTTGATTAAGGTTTATTATACTTAAACCTTACCGTTTTTGAAATATTTTCAATTTTGTGAAATTGCAGTAAAAATTTTAAGGCTCCATTTCTCCAAGGGTACCAAAGTTTTTAATACTAAATATTTACTGAAGTTTATTTATTGATCAGTTATTGTGTTGCAATAATAAAAATAATACTACCTTATACAGAGTGTCTAAAAATTTATTTTAAATAATTATTACCTTCAAACGGCAATAACTTGTTTAATTTAAATGGAACACCCTGTATATTTTACGAGAATCAGATGCACAATTTAATTGTCTATCAAATTATATTATACCATTTTTTACCTATCTCTTTAAGTTTCCGTAGAAAATGCATTTTCTTGTAATTTAGAATTTATTTATCAATATACCCATGGAAGATTAACATTTTAGATTACTTTTAAAGATGTACCAAATTTTTAAAGAGTACAGATACTAATATTGTGGATATAATTCGTTTATTTCATTAAAAAATAAAAAAAAAACTGTTTAAATATTTGTTAAAGAGGACCAATTAATATGATTCCAGTATTCAAACTACATTAACTGACTGCATTGATTAATAATAATTGTTCCAAATACTAAAAAAACTGAATTTTGTATGGGTATTAGACAGTGTGATAAAAAGTAACACCTTAAAAATGATATTTCATTTTTTAATAAATGCTTATTTATAACAACAGGGACTTTAATTTTGATAACTTATTATTATATTGATTTCTGACTCAATTCCACATTTATTTAGAATAATTTATTAACGAATACAATTAAGTATGTAATTAATTAGTATATGGGCGGAAATAATGGTGCTATATTTAATTAATGGTATACTATTTTATAAAGATTTAAATAGTTTTCTTTTGCATACAACATTATTGTTTTTATCCAAACGATAATATTACTAGAATGTCATATATGATGTCAATATTCTATGGGTGTCAATAATAAAATGTCAATAATCCATGGGTATATTGATGAATGAGGTCTAAATTATAAGAAAATGCATTTTCTACGAAAACTTGAAGGGATAGGTAAAAATAGTATAATACAATTTGATAGACAATTAAATTGTGCATCTGATTCTCCTAAAATATACAGGGCGTTCTATTTAAATTAAACAAGTTATTGGCGTTTAAAGCTATAAATTATTTAAAATAAATTTTTAGACACTCTGTATAAGGTAGTATTATTTTTATTATTGCAACACAATAACTGATCAATAAATAAACTTCAGTAAATATTTAGTATTATAAACTTTGATACCCTTGGAGAAATGAAGCCTTAAAATTTTTACTGCAATTTCACGAAATTGAAAATATTTCAAAAACGGTAAGGTTTAACTGTAATAAACCTTAATCAAATTTACCTTTATTTTAATCGTAGAAACTAAAAATGTAATAATATACAGGGTGTTCCATTTAAAAAAATACAACTTTGATATTTTTTACTTATTTGGGACACTCTGTATCTTGTAAATTATTTTTAAATTGTACCTCTAATAGTCCTTCATCGAACACAAAATTTGAAATTTGTAAAAATATAATCGTTTAGCTACAATACTCCGTGTCGTATGTGGTGAACAACCCTGTATATGTTTTGCTATAGATATGTATTATTTTATAACCATGTTGAATTTAACAATATTAATAGCTTCAATATAACAGTATTATTATATATTCTAAAAATTATATTATCTATATGCCATATGTAATCCTATGTCTATCAAAATAGACTCTACTCCAAAATAAAATAAAACTATTTTATCGAAAAACACTGTTTTTTTTTCTAAAATAAGTTTTGCGTAAAGTTTGCGGATACTTGACAGTATTATCAAGTGTCAGCTGTTGTCCGTCATTTTAATTAAAAGGTATTCTATGATTGTATTATTTTGTCATTTTTTTGGATGTCGGCTGTCGAAAGCTTTCCTGACTCGTTGGACAGACTCATTATTCTACTCTCTTCTGTGACATTATGAACATAAACTCCTATTTTTGGCAATTGTCTTTGACGTTTCTGGGGTCAGGCTTTGAATCGGACGTTCGGACGTTGGGACATGGGCTGGGCCTGCCTTGAATGCCAAGACCAAGCCATGTTTGATCGCCGAGAGTTTAATTGTCGAGTTTAATCCAGCAACAAAAAAACAATTGTTTTTAAACCCAGCATTTGGAATAAAGTTAACACACAAATAATTACATTCATATATTTAGATTACATTTGAGAAAAGCATTTAACAGCCGTACACCTGCATTATGTGCGAATTTTCTGTTTAAAGCTTGTCAAGCCACAAAATAGGAATCAACTGGTTCCTATTTTGTGGTCAGGCCAAGGATTAGGCTGGCCAGGTCAGGCCAGGCCACCCATTCGTTGACCGGTTTTGGAGTTAAGGTTGATTCTCACTATACCTTCCATATCAGCTCCCTTCCGTTTCCCTTCCGTTTACATAAAATATTATATCATGTAAATGAATAGGACAATGCACACTATCCGTTCCGTTTCCGTTCCGTTCCATATCGTTTTCTGCGATTCATTTTTTTGGCGGCCGGACTGAAGGGTATCGGAAACAGCGTTGTCAATTTCTTACATTTGTGCCAGCTCTGCTAACATTTTGCTGATATTTATTTATTCTTTCACCTCTTAATTATATCTATTACCTTTTTCACAAGATACATTTTTTTAAATAAAACATTCGTATAATGATATAAATTGTACAATAAAAAGTATGGAACTGATACGGAACTGAAGCTTACGTATGGCGTCAATACAATAAAAAATACGGAACCGATATGGAATGGAAATGGAAGGTATAGTGAGAATCAACCTTTATACTCCATCATCAGGACGACTTTGGTAGTCTACCTCGAATTGCGAATTGGTAAGCTCCAAACAGAAACAGAAACAGATCCCTAGTGTTGGACCAAAGTTGGGTGAATTAAGAGATGGGCAAGTCTCGATTTACTAGTATTGGGCCAAGTCTAAATCACCAAAAAATGGCCCAGGCTTGGTTGACCAACTCTGGTTCGAGGCTGGGTCACCATAGCATGGCCAGAGCTATGATTCCCAATTAAGAGATGGGTAAGACTCGATTTCCCAGTATTGGACCAAGTCTAAAACACCAAAAAATGGACCAGGCTTGGTTAACCAATTCTGATTCAAAGCTGGGTCGCCGTAGCATGGCCGAAGCTGAGATTCCCAGCGTTGGACTAAAGGTGGGTGAATTAAGAGATGGCTAAGACTTGATTTCCCAGCCGTGGCCCAAGATAGGGTGAACATAGGATTCGCCAAGCCTGAATTACCCAGCTTTGGACCAATCTTGGTGCGCCGAAGTCTGGTTTCCCGCGACTGGGCTATGCTTGGCCCCGTTGTCAACCTACGGGGACTCCTGTATGGGATGGAGTACATATGGAAGAAACTCATATACCACTACAAAAAAGTAAGCATTCGTTGAAAACATCATTGTGTACTATCAGTCATGACCTATGCTTGCGAAACCTGGACACTTAAAGGAAATTGCTAGTCACACAACGCTCGATAGAACAAAATATGCCAGGAATAACAAAAAATACTTTACAAAATTAAAAATTATCTTTCCATGTCCTTCTTTCCGATATTGAAAACCTACCTAAATGGTAGAGTGTTTAGAGTCAGAATAGGTGAGGATATATCTGAAAGTTATAGCATAAATGCAGGTGTTCCACAAGGTAGTGTCCTAGGATCACTACTCTATGTCCTTTTTACAGCAGACTTTTCCACAAACAATGAAACAACAACGGCTACTTTTGCAGATGAAACACTAATTATGGCTGTCAATAAAAAGCCGGAAACAGCTTCCTTGATATTACAAAGACATCTAACTGTAATAGAGGCATGGTTACGTGATTGGAAAATAAAAATTAATCCATCAAAATCGGCCCAAGTAACTTTTCCTTTAAATAGAGACCAGTGCCGTCCAGTATATTTAAACAACACACTAATTCCGTAGTCTTCCTCTACCAAGTACTTAGGCATGCACTTGGATACTAAGCTTACCTGGAAAGAACACATAGTAAAGAAACGTAAGCAAATAAATTTAAAAATAAAAGACATTGGTTAATAGGAAGAAGAAATTATCGCTAGAGAATAAACTTTTTTATACGAAACCATAATAATACCTATTTGAACATATGGAGCAGAACTCTGGGGATGCGCTAGTAAATCAAATATAGCCATAATACAAAGGAGCTAATCTAAAATTCTACGGATGATAACAGACGCACCATGGTATGTCTCCAATCATACTCTACATGAAGACTTAAAAATTCCGTACGTCAAAGAAGTCATCCAAACTCGGAGCAAAAAACATTTCGATAGACTACAACATGATCACACCAATACCTTACTTCAGCCTCTACTTGAACCAGTACCTACAAGAAGACTTAAAAGACAATAGCCATCTGATTTGAATGAATATTAAGGAGGATTTTTTGCTGGAGAAGACCTCATCACGTTAACTGGAGCGTCATTGCTTTCAAGTCATCAAATTAGTCCATAGAATTTCCTTGCAATTATTCTGATTGCTAATAAATCATAATAAAAAAAGGAATAACAAAGAAAGACCGTAAAATATAGAGTGAATACGAAGAAAGACCTAGGTTATTCACACAATGATTAAAGAATCCAAGGACAAATATGTAACACCCGAGAGCAAATTGTTATCATGCCACCAAACAGTACCGTGGCACGTATTTTTCTTAACTTATTTATTAACTAACTTAAATGTACCTAACTGTAACTAACTGTAATATACGGAGTGTTGATTTATTGAATATAGAAATTTGAGAGGACTCCTGTGTAGAATGTAGAATGTTTAGGAGGGGAGTATCACCGCGACCCACAATGGGTCAGAACAGGCATTTCTCGGCAAAAATGTTGTACTTATTTTAAAACTGCTCGCTTATATACATTTTGTTGATAAGTGTGACTGCTTAGATTTAAAAAGTTGGTGAAACAATATAACGAGCATATAACCTGTTGTAGTAGAGGTTGACTAGCCCAAGATGAACTAGATGAGTTGAAAGAGTAAAATGAACAATTAAGTAACAAATTGATTTTGTTTGGGTGATAATTTATTTTAATAATAATTTAATATAATATTATAAATAATATAATTTTAATTTTAATTTAATAATAATTTTTTTAATAATTTAATTATACAGTGTTATATACATATATAACTTTCTTGTTAACTGGAATATTTTACACACGGTACACGTACAGGGTGATCATTGGATAGAGGTACCCGAATGGAATCTTCAGACAGACAGACGGTCATTTTAATAGAAATTTTGTGAAAGTGATCAAATTATTTATTAATTTTTAATTTATTACTTTTTCAACATTTCAAAGTACAGGGTGAGTCAAATTAGACGCTTTTAAAGGGAAACACCCTTTTCTATAGGAGATAGACGAAAATTAATATCGGTGTCTGGAGCTCAAGGTGTTTTGGAGTTAGGGGGTGTTTTTCAAAAATATGCATTTTCAAAAAATCGCTGTAACTTTTTTGCTATGAAAAATTTTGTATTTTTTTGAAAACATTTTCAAAACACTTTTTTATGTAGAATTTAATGGTTTTAGTATAATTCTTTTTAAATTAATAATTTAAGAATTATCCACAGAAAATTTGATTTTTTTATATGGGATACCTGGTATATTATTAATTCTTCGAAAATAATTTAATTTTACCTTTCCAAAAATGTAGCCTACTTGATATTTTCCTCTTCGAGATATAGAGTTCTTAAAAATTCGCCTACTTTGAATAAGTAGGCTTTGAACGGCGCCGGCTGTAGTACAGAAAATTGTAGCTGTGCGAGCAGCAATTAATCAAAAATAATATTTGCAATGAGGTATGCAGAATTTTATATCAATTTAAACTATATTTAACAACATCAACACATGTAAACTATATCTAATAACAATAAAAAATTAATAGCAAACCAAGACATGAGATTTTGCTACAAGTGTTCGACATGTTGTAAGAGTCCCAATTTATTTTTCTTTGGTTCAGTGAAAAATAAATAGCCTTACTGGCGTACAGTAGGAAATTTAAATCTCTCGGGCGCCACCTCTGTTATTTATAGTGGAAGAGGACCACGTTTCGCCAATACGGGTAGCTTTTATACAGTGGAGATACCAGGGAGTGTTGAAATGAAAAGAAATAAAACACACAGTCAACTATAACATAACATTAAGGCTTTATTTAATTAATTAACTATATGCTAAATACCCCAGGAAGTTTCACGACTTTAAATTGACGACCGTCCGTTATGGACAGACGGGACCGTTTTTGAACATTTCTCGCGGAATTAATTAACTCAGATGGGAAACAGATACCCTCGCATAACAGCTAAATACTTGTAATTCTTGTCTAGATTATACGGGCAATTTAAAAATAAGAACCTTTATTCCTTCTCAAAGATAAAAATCCACTAAGGATAACAGGCACTAAGTCCGGCTGCGTCGTTGGCCAACGGCTGGAATCTTGGTTCAATTATTCTCGAAATTGGCAGCAAAAATTTGTTGATAACTTCAGCGTTCTGTGGCGGTGCCTCGTCTTGCTGGAAAAATATGTTTTTGAGTTCCATTAGGGGCAGATCATCAATAAGGGGTCCAAAGCCTACTAGTTAAAAGTGGCGAACTTATAAAAATTCTGTATTTCGAAGGGGACTATAACAAATTATCAAGTGTGTTATATTTTTGGAAATGTAATTTTAAGTTCTTTTCCCTTAATTAAAAATATATAGGGTGTCCCAAATAAAAATCAATTTTTCTGTTGATAACTCTTAAATTATTAATTTTAAAAAAATTATACTTAAACCATTAAATTCTAATAAAAAAGGTACTTTAGAAATGTTTTCCCGAAAATACAAAATTTTCCATAGCAAAAAAGTTACAACGATTTGTTAAAAATGCACATTTTTTAAAAACACCCCGTAACTCCGAAACGGTAGCAGATATCGATGTGCGGTTTTCACCATCATGTTTTTGATAAAAATTGAACACCAGACACCGATATTAGTTTTCGTCTATCTCCTATAGAAAAGGGTGTTTCCCTTTAAAAGCGTCCAATTTGACCCACCCTGTACACTTTTCAAACGTGTCCTTCAAATTCTTCAATTTAATAGCTGTAAGAAGTTTCACTTCAAATATGCGCACATAGTGCACACACAATTCTTTCTTTTGCGTTTATTAAATTCTAACTACACTAAAATTAATTCTATGAATTTTTGTGAATAAAAATGAAGAGTTTAAGATGCTTTCGTTTCCTCGTAACGATCATTTCGAAACTGCGTTTGTTGGTAAATAAAGATACTTATTTAAATTGGTTAAATCGGATCGCTTGGGATAACCCAGAGGTCAGCCGTAAGTATCCCGAGAAGGGGGGGAATCACTAAGCACGAGATGACCGGCCGGCGAACGCTGTTAGTTAGTTGATCCTCTGGTTTGTGTCTATTTAGGAAAATAAATTCTACTTGACAATGTAAGTTTTTTTGGATTTTTATATAAAGCGTCATGCAACAGTGCGTCGGGCATCTGTAGAATGTTGCAGGATTCCTTTTTAACTTCTACAGGGCTGTTCAAAAAAGCATGAGCGGATCGGGATTATTATTTTTTAATTGAACACCCTGTATATTATTGCCTTTTTTTTTAATCATTCACCTAACACAGTTCTAAGATATTATACAGGGTGGCGCACCTCATTCGCCTCGGTTTATTATACGAAAACGGAAAGATGTAGAAACAAAATATTTTATGGGTATATGTGGGGAGGTAATGTGCACAATTTAAAATTATTTTGAAATGTACATGGTGTTTCCGACCTAAGATCCATACCAAAGTTATATTTTTTCTTCTGGAACATCCGGTATTTTATTTCATTTTTGGATTCTTGGGCCCAAGAAAAGGTATTTATTATAAGGGTTAAATATGTTTAAAACCTTTGGTTTTCGAGATATTTAAATTTGCATGCTACAGTAGAATAGCTTATTGACACCCTGTACATTACTTTTCAGAATTAGTTCTTCTGCTGAGTTTAAAGGTAGGGAAATAAACTTTACAGAAAAATATTATTCCTTCCTTAAATGTATACAGGGGTATCTAAATTGCTGGTCTATTTTAAATATTTATTTTACATAATAACTTCGTTATTTCAAATGCAACACTATGTATTTTTTTAAATAAGTCGAAGCAGATTTAAATGCTCTTTCAAACTATATTAGGGTTTTCTATACCCATCTGGCTCAGATTTTGAATAAAAAGCGATTTTTCAATAAAATTGTAATCAAGATGGCTAGTGTTGTCATGGCAAGTTTCTAGTGACAGTAGCTATTTTCAAAATCGAAATTAGATTATGAACTTATTTAAATTTATACCAGTTTACTTTTATTTAATTTACCTACAATAGTTTAATAAATAATATTTATTAAATATGTGTATATTGCAAACCACACTACCAGCTCTGCGAAATAGGACAAAAAGTTTTTCAAAGAAACGCTTATCAGGAAGATTCCTATTTGGATATCTTTGAACATAAGCCATTGAGGCCCAGAAGCAATTTTCCTAACAAAATAATATCACTATAGTAACATATCTATTCGTTCCACGAGCAGATACTGCTTTATTTTTCTTGATAAAATAATGAATACTTACTTATTAAACTATTGTAGATAAATTTAAGTAAACTGTTATAAATTATAAATAATAGTGTCCATAAACTAATGTCGAGTTTGAAAATAGCCACTAACTGTCACTAGAAAATTGCCATGGCGACACCAGCCATCTTGATTGCAATTTTATTTAAAAATCGCTTTTTATTCAAAATCTGAGCTAGATAGGTACAGGTAACCCTAATATAGTTTGAAATAGCATTTGAATCTGCTTCGATTTATTTTAAAAAATACAGGGTGTTGTATTTGATATAACGAAGTTTTTATATAAAATGTATTCTTAAAATAGATCAGCAACTTTTGATAGCCTTGTATAAATTTACCTCTACCTTTAAACTCAGCATAAAAATTAATTCTGAAAAGTAATGTACAGGGTGTTAATAGTCTATTCTATTGTAGCATGCAAATTTAAATATCTTTAAATATCGCAAAAACTAAAGATTTTAAACATATTTAACCCTTATAATAAATGCCTTTTTTGGGCCCAAGAATGCAAAAATGAAATAAAATACCGGGTGTTCCATAAGAAAAAATATAACTTTGGTATGGATCTTAGTTCTGAAACACCCTGTACATTTCAAAATAATTTTAAATTGTGCACATTATCTCCCCACATATACCCATAAAATATTTTGTTTCTACATCTTTCCGTTTTCGTATAATCAACATCAACCGAGGCGAATGAGGTGCGCCACCCTGTATAAATAAATAAGTAAAAAATATATAGGGTGGTCCGAACTGTATTCCGGAAACATCGGCTTTTCTGCAGAAACAGCATATTCTGCAAATAAAAATAAGTAAAAAAGTTCATATAAATGTATATCTTAAAATACTTAGTTTCAGAGATACAGGGCGTAGAAGTTTCATTTTTATTTCGATTTTTTCCAAATAATTTCTGAAGTAACGTCAATATTTAGATGAAAATTGGTGTCTGGGAGTTTTTTGACATAAGAAATTTGATTTTGATGCCAATATGACTCCTACTTGTAGAGGGCGCGGCCTATATATTCTTTAACTGGTTAGGTTAGGTTAAGTTAGGTATAATAACTTTTCGTCCGCACCTGTATAAAACTACTGAGTACAAAATACATAATACATTACATTTTCGACATTTTTTACGTAAAAAAGAACTCTTGAGTAACGAAACGAACTTTTACGTAAAAATCGCTATGAGTAATGGTTCTCGAGATATTTGGAATCGAAATTATCAATACCTGTCATCATTGATACAATAAATTAAACATGTTGACAAAATTGTTATCATACTGAAATCATAAATTTGAAATGTTTTTGTGCCAAAAGTTCAACAAAAATTCTTTTGTCATTTTTTTGCAGAAAAATTTATGATTAATTTTAAAAAAAATCACAAATTTATTATTTCAGTCATATAACTTATCTACTCAACGTGTTTACTTTTTTTTGTCAATAATAACATATATTGACTATTTCTATTCTAAATATGTTGAGAATGGTTGCTTGTAGCGATTTTTACCAAGAGACATTTTTTACATAAAGTCACGGAAATGTATATTTTTTCACTCAGTGGTTATAAATAAAAATCCATTTAAATGATATTTTTATTTATAACCAATATACCCAAACATTTATATAACCAAATATTTAAATATAACTTTACATACTCTTCTTGCACATGGCTCAGAGTGATGGTTTTCGAGAAAATTGAAGGCAAAGAGTTTGCTCTGATAGGTTGCTAACTGGTTAATCAACATAAATTTATGAAAGTTATGGCGGTTCAAAAGTAACCAAGTAGTTATTAAATAATTAATTGGAAAATCTAAATTTCATGATTTTTAAAACATCTTTTTTGCTTTAAAAACGAAATAAACTAATTACCAAAATTCCTTATTAAAATAATGCATTCCTTAATTCATTCATAGTAAATGTTCAAAGTGACCACCATTCATTTCAATGCAGACATCTGCTTTTCTTCAAAATTTGCGTACCTTGTGGAATATCCTTGGTATTGTCCGAATTTGATTGGAACAGTCAATAATGCGTTGCCGTAGTTGCTCTTCAGTATTAATCGGTACTGAGTAAACCAAAGCTTTCAAGTGGTCCCAGAAGTAGAAATCTAGTGGGTTATTTCGTTTTTTAAAGCAATAAGATGTTTTAAAAATAATGAAATTTTGATTTTTCAATTAATTATTTGATAGCTAATTGGTTACTTTTGAACTGCCATAACTTTCATAAGTTTATGTTGATTAACCAGTTAGCAACCCATCAGAGCAAACTCTTTGCCTTCAATTTTCTCGAAAACCATCATTCTGGGCGTTGTGCAACAAGAGTACCTTTTTTGTAGGAAAAAGTATGTAGTTTTCAAAAAATGAACCCATAAAAATGAACTCAAAAAAGTTATTCGTGAAACAACCCCCTACCTTTGCAAAATCTACCCTTTCCGCTTTTCCAAATAACTTTTCAGTATCACCATTTGATTTAGGGTCAAAATTTATGGCAGAGGATTTTTTTTCAAAATTTTATCTCGTTTTTTAAGTCTACAATTTCAAAACAACCGTTTTTTAAATTCACCCTTTCAGTGCCCCTAACTCCCTCAATATGCATTTTCCGCCCTATACTTATAGGAACTTTTTTTTACTATTTTTAGGAGTACTATCACCCCCCGATTTTTTTACACCATTTCAATGACACCCTGTATTATCAATCACATCGCAAAAATTAATACTTTTGTGGCGTTTGAAAAAATAGTATATTGTTTTTGTTGAACTTTTTCGTTGTTGATAGTATTACTCAGAGGTATTACTATTGCAATTAAAAACTTGTATTAAAACAGCGGACGTATTACTGACAACTTTATTGTTCCGCCATCTTCTTTCCTCTTTTTTTTTTTGACAGACAGACTTTTAAGGTCGTCCCACACGTACAATAACCAAAGGCAACTTTACACATAAAAATAGGAAAACAGAAAACAATAAAACACTGAATGAATGTTAAACAGTTTTATTAGGAGCAGGGTTCGGAAAACTACATGTCACTTTTAAAAACTACATAAACTACATTGACTGTACAATAACCAAAGGCAACTTTACACATAAAAATAGGAAAACAGAAAACAATAAAACACTGAATGAATATTAAACAGTATTTATTTTAGGAAAACAGAAAACAATAAAACACTGAATGAATATTAAACAGTTTTATTAGGAGCAGGGTTCGGAAAACTCCATGTTACTTTTAAAAACTACATAAACTACATTGACTGTACAATAACCAAAGGCAACTTTACACATAAAAATAGGAAAACAGAAAACAATAAAACACTGAATGAATATTAAACAGTTTTATTAGGAGCAGGGTTCGGAAAACTCCATGTTACTTTTAAAAACTACATAAACTACATTACATGTAGTTAATGTAGTTTATGTAGAGGGTGTAGTTTATATAAACTATGTATGTAACTTTCAAATATCAAAGGTTTGAGGTGAGGTTATAATAAGTTGAAGCTTTAAAACACATAATGTATTTAAGAAAACAGAAGAAATATGGCTTTAAATATAATATTTACATCATATTATCTCTATTATACCTCATACAAATGAAAATGATTCATAATATCAATACATAGTTTATTAACGTAGTTTTCATGTAGTTAATGAACGGGAAAAGACGTAGTTTTTGAAGAAAAACTACACGTAGTTAATCAGGTAAATAACGTCTTAATTAACTATTTCCGAACCCTGATTAGGAGTAAAAGCGACTCTTTTCGGGCGAAGCTGTACGTTTGACACACAACCGTGACACAAAAACTAATTTTTACTCCGAATAAAACATGCTATTT